CATGTGACTTCCTGTGCTTAGATGTGTACTTCTTCTTCTCTGCTTTCCACTATTTTCTCACATTGCACTGAAAACAATGGCAATTGTGAAAGAGGGGATGCATGTCTTGTTGGGATTATTGGTTGCAAGCAATTGTCTGGTTGTATTTAGTAGAAAAGAATTGTATTTTAAAAAAGTCAAGGTCAGGCAAGATGATGCATGCCTTTAATCTAGCACTTAGAAGGCAGAGGCAAGTGGATCTTTGTGAGTTCAAGGCCAGCCTAAAGTTCAAGGCCACACCGAAAGTTTGGGGTCAGCCAGGTCTGTATAGGGAGTCCCTTTCTAAAACAAGAGAAGATGAGAAGAACTCTACAGTTTGGTTTAAAAAGGCAAATAACCCAATTTTAAGAATTGCGACAGGGACAGTAAGATGGCACAGAGGATAGAAGTATGCAAATGAAGAAAAACACAGAAAAGAATGCATGACATCATTAGTCCTTAGAGATACAAAAATCAAACTTCAGCAACATACTACTTCCACCTACTAGACTGGCTAGAATTACAAAATTGGATATGAAAGCTGAGCATCATGGCATACACCTTTAACCCAAGAACTCAGGAGGCAGAGGCAGGCAAATTTCTGAGTTCAGGCCAGCCTGATCTAAAGAATGAGTTCCAGGACAGCCAGGGCTACACATAGAAGCCCTGTCTCAAAAATGACACAATACAACAAACGTTGGATGATAGGTGCTCACTGAAGTGGAAATGAAGCAGTCGCTCGCCTTCTGCTGCTGCTGAGAAACAGACTGACTATAGGCCCATTGACCTTCTGTGTGTAGCTGCTTCAGAGCTGCAGCCCCAAATCCATTAGTGTGAATTTTGAGCAAGGCCTTGGATGCTGAAGATGAAGATTATAGATCTGATTTCTGTCACTGTTTATATAGCTAGTACTTATTTTTTGTCTATAACTTTACTCAACAGTTTCATACATTATTTCTCTAACATCGAGGAAAATCCAGGTTAAGACTGTACAGTTCATTGCAAACCCACCCTGATCTGAGGTTGGCAGGACTCAGATTCTGTGGCATGAGGTTAATCTTGAATAAAAGTCCGTGTACCCAACTCTGGGTAAGTCTAAGGTGACTAGATACATTTTCTTAGTGAGGTCAATAATTTTGCTCTGTTCTGTTCAATATTTCAATCCTATGAAATATTTGAAAAAATAACTAGCACAGTGCATGATTCTAATACTTGATGTCAGCAGTTCCAATATAGTTGGTGTCTCCTTGAGCATAGCAGCATAGGTTTAAAATCATTATAGATTAGAGAATCTTTGATTTTCTTCCTAGAGTTTACTGATATCAATACTTTCTCTTAATTCTATTTAATTATCCATCTGGTGGTTTTAAACTTTAGTATACTTTTCTTTCAGAAAAAGTAGCCTGAAACATGTCAACAGATATTTGGAATATAATTTAGTCTTTCTTCATAGTATGTTTTTTCTATGTAATGTGGAAATGAACACAATTCTACTAACTATCAAAACCTCATTCTAGTTCATTCCTCATTCCAGAAGGTACAGATTTAATCAAAGTGCAACTTGCCATTAATTGAGAATAATTTATTTAACATTAAAAACCAAACACCTGTCTTTGAATCCACAACATAGCAGCAGTAGGCAGCTCTGCTACAGTGTTAACACTGGTCTAGCCATCAGCTACCACAGGACCGAAGAAAAATAACCTAACTTGTCTCGTTCCCAATTTGTTTGAAAAAGGAAATTATAGAACTTTAAGCATGTTATATTTATGGGCACATAATGATGGATTTTATAGTGACAGTTTCATGCAGGGATAGTCTATATTTTGATCTTATTCAGCCTTCCTTAAAGCTCCCTCTCTAGTTTCAAGTCTTTTTTTATTTTTTATTTTGTTTTGAAACAGGGTTTCTCTATGTAGCCCTGTCTGTCCTGGAGTTTGCTTTGTAGACCAGGCTGGCCTCGAACTCAGAACTCTGCTTGCCTCTGCCTCCTGAGTGCTGGGATTTAAGGTTGTACCATCATGCCTGACTGTCTTTTTTTATTATTTAAATCTAAAAATTCTACATAAGAAAAAATGTGGTATTTTTTATATTTCTGGGCTTGACTTGTTTTTGTTTAACATTGTGGCCCTAGGGCCAAAATTTTTCTGCAAGAACATGACTTCATTCTTCTTTATGATTGATTAATACACATTGGGCACATAAGCTATATTCTTTTCATCATTCATATGGTGATAGGTGTGTAGACTGATTCCATAGCTTAGGTGTTGTGCAGTGGTCTCAGGCTTGGACCTCTGTGATAGGTCTAGTTTTAGGTTTTGAGGAACCTTTGTACTGTTTTCCATAGTGATTGTACTAATTTACATTCTCCCAGTATCTGTTGTTCTTTTTTATTATAGTATATAGAGAACCCTCTTACCTTTATCCTCCCAGTATCTGTTGGTCTTTTTTATTATAGTCATAATGACCAGGTGAGGTGAGATGAAATCTCATTGTAATCTTGATTTGTAGTTTGCCAGTGGTCAACACTTTTTCATAATTTATTGACATTTGTACTTCATTTAAGGATCTTTCAATTCATTTGCCCACTTACTACTTAGAATATACAAAGAACTTTTAAGAAAGGAATTTGTTTCAGACTCATTCTACCCTTATCTTTACCCTTGAATCTGTCATTTCTCCCAGATACTAATTTATGCCATAAGTAGAAGAAGGATGTTGTGTCTTACAACAGCTTTCCAAAATTGAATTGACAGATGAAACTAAGTTCCATTAAAATGGTAGAAATGAAATCAACTGTAGTGACTCACACCTGTAATCCCAGCAGTTAGGAGATAGAGAAGAGTTATAGTGAGTTTGAGATTAGCCTGGGCTACATAGTGAGACCCTGTTTCAAAAAACAAAACCCAGAAATGCTTTTAAGGATAATTCACTCTCACCTTGTTTCTTTGTGTGCTTGGAGCTAGGTGCTTCTAATATAAATGCAGATGATAGGTATAGTCAGAGATGGACTAGAGACATGAGAATTGAAGAAAGGTTTTAGAAAAGAGTAAGATATGAATGTAGAGGAATATATATGAATATAGAGGACATTGTATATAGGGGTCCAACATGAGCCCTGACAGCTGCAGGGAATGGCATGTCATGTTAGGGAGTTCTGAGCACACACCTACGCAGCACAGATCATGATGCTAGTGTTAGCGGGAGGATGGGATCCAGTGTATTGGAAGGTTGGATTTGAGGCTGGTTTATTTCTGACAATATGCAGACAGTGAAGAGCTTGAAAGTTTGGAGCCTGGTGGTCATGAGGAGTATGTTTCTAAGGAAATTTATATAATAAATTACAGAATGGATTGGAAGACAAGTTAGGGAAGTACTAAGTGATTGGACCTAAAACAGTAGGGACTCAACCCAGAAGTAATGAGTACATAGGAAACTCACTGAAAAGGGAAAAGTAACTTTGTGTATTGAATCAGGATCTCTGGGAAAGAATGAAACTCCAAACAACTTGGGGCATTCCTTTTTTTTTTTTTTTTTAATTATTTTGAGACCGGGTTTCTCTGTGTAGCTCTGGCTGTCCTGGAACTCACTCTGTAGCCCTGGCTGGCCTGGAACTCACTCTGTAGCCCTGGCTGGCCTGGAACTCACAGAGATCCGTTTGCCTCTGCATCACAAGTGCTGGGTTTAAAGCATGCACCACCACCACCTGTCAGAAATTCCACTTTTTATAAGAGAAAGAACAGAAATCAATCACAAATATAAATTAGAAAACAAGTTTGATTCAAGTGAATTTTATTATTTTTGGTTCTGTGTATCAAACTTGGGACTTTGTGCATAGTAAGCATGTATTCTACCATGGAACTAAATCCCAGCACTGTGATACTGAGATTTTTAAAAGATTGAGTTATTATTTATATTTTATGCATATGAGTTTTTTGCCTGTATGTGTATCAGTACACCATGTTTGTACAGTGCCTGAGGTCAGAAGAGGGCATTGGATACCCTGCATCTGGTCCCTTGGAACTGCAGTTAGAGATGGTTGTGAGCAGCCATGTGAGTGCTGGGAACTGAACCTGAGTCCTCTGGAAGAACAGGAAGCACTCTTAACCACTGAGCCATCTTTCTAGCTCCAATGTCAAAAATTTTGTTTAACTATTTTTCTAAAGTGGTTGATTGAAATTACTTTATAATTTTTTATATTTATTTTTTTCAAGACAGGGTTTCTCTGTGTAGCATTGGCTGTCCTGGAATTCACTCTGTAGATCAGGTTGCCCTCAAACTCAAATCTACCTGCCTCTACCTCCTTGAGTGCTGGGATTAAAAGCATGTGCCAACACCACCTGGCTACTTCATAATTTTTATATGAAACAAAATATCTGAAAACTAATGGATTAGAGCAATTAGTATCATAATTGTTAGGCCTAGTAATGGTGACTAGACTTTCTAATACAGTTGAAATACTTAGCAATGGGTATTGGATTTCCTAATGCAGTTGATAAACTCAGATCTTAAGATCATCAAGTACTTTGACCAAGACCTCCTTGGTCTCACACTGGGAGATAAGGTAGAAGGGCCCTAAGGTCCATGAGATGTGAAAATTGAATGTTCCTGAATAGGTGTTTTGCCATTTCATTAGTTTTACAGTTAAATATATCAGTTTCAACTAGGCCATCTTCCTTTGTGGATATTCAGGAAAATGGCAGGTTTATCTGTAGCTGCTATCTCTTCAGGTTTTCTGACCTGGCTCCAGTCCTAGAGTTTGATCTGAGAACTCAACCTCATTCTGTCCATAGGCTTGTCGATTTGTTAACATGTGGGCCTCCTAACTAAAATCTGGTGGAATTATGTGAAGAATGCGTTGGTTATAGTTGTTGGGAGAGAGCTGGGTGATTGTCATAATTTCTGCTGGTAGAGTTTCTGAAAGAAAAATGAAGTCAGCTCCTTTTGTTGGGAAGGAGATTTCATGTTATCTGTGTTTGCAGGCTTTCTGGCTCACATGCTGGAGGAATCCTTGCTGCGGGGGTGTTTTCATTTTCTCGCCTAACATGGCAGTGGTCCATTGCAGCCGAGGTTTTTAGCTTAAACAATCTGTTTGTGGGGCTGCTCATGGCGCTTACTGTGCGTTTTGAGGAGGCAGCAGCCGCAAAGGAGAGATCAAAGGTAAGCTATTTTGATCAAAGTGAAATCAGTTTTGTTTCAATTTTTAGATAGAAAAGTGTTTCTTTTTAACTTTGCTTTAGACCACATTTATCTATTCTGATTCCTATTAGGGTAATCTGGGCAGGTGGAGAGACTGCCCTCAGACCCTTTGTTAGGAATGGAATGATGGCACCTCCCAAGCATGGTTCTTTTCCCCTCAAGAGTTCAGAAGGTTTTGGAGAATGGGAATTATGAAATGTCTAGTGAGCTCTGAGAGAGGGATGGGTTTGGTTCATACACGTGTGTGTGTGTGTGTGTGTGTGTGTGTGTGTGTGTGTGTGTGTGTGGTGAAGCCAAGTTGTGGATGGACTACCTTAAGGTATATACTGTGGTAATACATTGATTCCTCACTAATCACAAATTATGAGTTATTTTTAGCCAGTAGAAGAGCATCAGATATAAAAACCCAAGCTGTTCAGAGATCACACTGCCATAGTCATCTAAAGTGGAAGCCCTGTGTTGTAAGCACTTAGCCTCTACACCTAGTTCAGGCCACCTTATTGTTAGAGTTTAGTACAAAAGATACCATGGCTTATTTGTGGTTCCCATAAATCTCCAATGCTATTAGAGTATTTTGTTTAAAACAACCTTCTTTTCTGATTGTGTTAAAGAAAGAAAAAAATGTGCTATGTACATGTCATGTCCTTGTTAAGAGATGCAAGCAGGCTTTCTTGGATGCAGCCATAGGGACCCTAGTAGCAGACTTAATTCCAAATATAAAGAAAAGTAGGAATTTCTAACCAAGGAGCCGGCAGGGAATCAATCAGTGAAGGATTACTCACAGTAAACATAAGGATTTTAAAGGGGGATTTGGGCCAAACCAAATTCAGGACATTCTCAGGAGGGAGCAGGCCTTGGTGAGATGTGGAGCTGTGATGGGACGTGTAGGTGGAAGTTGAGGATCTGCACTGTGATTGGATGGTGGAGAAGAGTTCAAAGGAGCCTAAAAGCAGTGTGGTCAAGGAGATCATCTCTATCAATTATGAAACAACTACATGTTCAGTAACAGCTGAAAGCCCTCTCCGAGATAAGCAGAGTTCTAAATAAAATTTTATTTATTTAGTAGTTTAGCAGAATTGCTCAACTTCAATGACAGATTTCAGTTAGGAATTATACAGTGCCCCACCATTGTAAGGGGCTTCCGAGGAGTCAGTGTGAAGATAGTCTTAAGGTCAAACTGTAGGGTTTTATGAGAATGGGGAAAAATTACCCAGAACTACTGCTGATAAACATTAGTGACTATTAACGTGACTGCTTGCATTTCAGGGTTTGGCTCTAATCTGGCCTGGCATGAAAAAGCTTTGCAGGTGCATCGAGGGCTTTTACTGTTATGCTTAGAGTTTTAGGGGAAGTTTTGACTAGTGTTTCTTTTTTCATTCTCAGATAGCAGTCATTGGTGCTTTCTCCTGTGGCCTTAGTTTGTGTAATCAGCACACAATAGTACTCTATGTTTTATGCATTATACCCTGGATTCTCTTCCGACTTCTGAAAGAGAAGGTAGGTTTTTTTATTATAAAAATTTAAATCCATACTATTTCACATAGGTTCAATTCAGCATTTGTGTTATCTGAAAAATTAGGGCTTTAGTGTTTCTTGAGTTTTATGTAAAGCATAAATGACCTGAGGCTTTAACAATATTGACTTTAAAAAGAGGATTTACAGAATTATGCAATATTGATTGTGGTGGCATCTGGCTGACTTCATAATTTTCCTCATGATTCTTGATAGCACCTCAGTGAGAAGAGGCAGAAGAGACTGAGAACAGCAATATCAAGTTCCCTAAATGGTTTTCTTGCATGTTCTAAGATTCAAGGCAGTCAAGCACCAACGCTTCATTCCTTCGTTCAAGGGTTGAGTGCTGTCTGTGCTGCCTGCTTGCCCCAGGAGCTGGAGACTAACACAACAGACAGCATCGCTGCTAACGTGAACTCATTGAAGTCAGCAGTGATAGTCCTGTTTTCTCAGAATCCATAGAATTCCTCCTTATAATTGAAAACTGCTCATTTCCCTTTTATCTTTCTCTGAAAGAAAACATTACTGTTAATTAAAATGACAGAGAGAAGCAATGCAGAATTTCCTTTGTTAGACTCTGTGAGATTCAGGTAGGAAAAAGCAGGGAGTGAGTTAGTCATGGACTGTGGGAAGATAAATGTCCTTAATTCTGTCAGAGTTCTTCTAGAACTATAGCCTATTTGTAAAGCAGTCACTTTATTTATTGTTTCTTTAACAAACTCAGTGATATTTATTTCTCATTATTTGTTAATTATACCCAACTACAATCGGAATTATAATAGAAAACACATAAAGCATATAATAAAATTATTAGGAAATAATTATACTAAAGCTTTAAATAATTGTATTTACTATACTTTAGCACATTTTTTGCTTTGGTAACAAAGCAAAAAAGGGTAATGTGGTGATTAAGGAAATTCTTATTATGTGATTACAAAAAGGAAACAATAGTTGACAAAGAACAACTTTTTCTTAGAATTTAGTTTGGTGACGTCAATCATATAAGTCCTTACATGGGGGATATTAAACAGCTTAACCAGCAGCATATTTTTAGATTGTTTTTTATTGGTATTTGGTTCTTTGACCCAAAGTCTCTGTGTTTAACAGTGGTATACTAGAGTATACAGAAAGTTCTTTATAAGTCTTGAATAATAGATGAAGACATAGCTAGATGTGATGGTGCATGCCTGTAATTCCAGCATCTGGGAGTCTGAAGCAGAAGGCTTGAGAGTTTAAGGACAATCTGACATACACAGAGAGTTTGGAGCCAGCCAGGTTTATATCCCAAAATGTATGAATTTAGGGCAAAGAGTTAAAGTATGATTTGACAACAGCCGAGGCAGCACATCTGCTTTTCCTGAATCTGGGTACCTGGATGGATAGTCAGGCAGCCCTGCCTGCTCTAGTTTCAGACTTCTCACCTCAGGAGAATCAGGGTTATTTTATTGGAAGACAAGCCATATAATTTGGGTAAAATGTTCAGGACTCAAGAGTTAACACTGTAGAGCCTGGGCTAAGGACTATTGCTCTGTCCTGGGGTAGACTACTAATGAGTGCTCAAATTTGGGCAACAGTGACTCTTCAATGTAGCACTTTCATTTCCATTAAATAGCAGAAGGGAAGTCAAGGGAACATGGAGGGCTAGAGAGAGAGAGAGAGAGAGAGAGAGAGAGAGAGAGAGAGATTCTATATGTATACATAGGTACATGTATGCATTTATATTGGAGCCTGATTCCACCACCAAACCATTCTGTGTTTGCAGGTGGAAGAAATCCCTGTCAGGTGATCACAGTGTATAGCCAGGACAGGGAAGCTCGGTCCCTTCCATCTGTAACAGCCCTCGTGTAATTGTCCCTGCTTACTTCTTAGACAAAAGGAAAACAATATATTAACTGTTTCTTTCCATTCTAAATCCAACTTTATAATGTGCAGTGCCTCCAAAACTGTAAACATTCGCTTCCCTAGCCCCACTTTTAAGACTGGCAACTGCCTGTTGTCAGATTAGGTAGTTCTGCATGCTTTCATACCATCATTTTATGCATCTCATTTCTGCTGTGGAAATCACAAATGAGATCAGTACTATAAGAAAACACTCCATTTTCAATTAAGAATGTTTGTTTGAAAATGCAAAAAGAAGTCGTCAGCTGATTGTTCTACTGCTGCCGATCGAGTCCTGGCTCTTATATCTTTCTCACAGATGAATTTCTCATTTTTGTAAGGGAAAAAGTTGGCAGTTTCCAATTATGATGTTTGTAAGAGATCCCCTTTCTCAGTTATTAAAGTGAGCAAGGCTTGAATGTTTCTAGAATGCCAGAATACACATTGTTTGGACTTAATCTTTGTAATTGTGTGGTGTTGGTTTTTTTTGTTTTTTTTTTGTTTTTTTTTTTTTTTTTGACATGTACAGGTGAGGAGTTCCTCCAGGTAGAGCTTATGAAACAACGTGGTTACACATAACAGCCAATTCCATTGGTATTCCACTAAACAGAAATGTGGAGGCACCCCGGGGGTTTATAAAAGCTAGCTTTGTCTACACCAAACATCCCATGAACTGTGGAAAGAATTACATCATCACATTACAGCAACTGTCATGAAGTATACAGTTAAAGACACTCTGATGATGGTGATGAAGTAAATTAGCATTAAAATAGTATTGGGGCCAAACAACGTGCAGCTACTTCCAAGTGGGTCATCTCAGCAGTGTAGTGCTGCACGTCATGACATGGTTTAAATGTAAAAGATACAGTCATTTGATACTTACACGTCTTTGCTAATATTTGCTCCACTCAGGTTTTGTCACAGAAAAAAGAATCCAGGCTGATGCAATTTTCTGGTAATCCTCAGTAATCAGAAGGTTTAGCATAGTATTCTGTGGTGACTTAATATAAATTGAGAGATCAGCTTTAAGCAAACATATTTGATGTTTCCCCTGATGAGTTTCTTGAAGTTCCAGGATGAATGGGCTGAAATAAACATGTGCCCCACTGTGTGCCCCTGTGCAGGAACTCGCCTTTAGCTCTCTGTTGAAGCTCACTCTGGCCTTCTCGGCTGGCCTGCTGCCCTACATCTATCTGCCTGTGTCTTCCTACCTCAATCATGCCCGCTGGACCTGGGGAGACCAGACGACACTAAGAGGGTTCCTGACACATTTTCTCCGGGAAGAATATGGAACATTCAGCCTGGTAAACTTCTGTTCCAAGCCCTGCTAAGGAAACAAGTGGCACTGCTTGAGTGTTCAGTTGGACTTTGACTGAAAGAGCAGCACATAGGATTGTCATTTTAGTTACTTGTGGAGCAGATTAGTCCCTTGGAATATGGCTCTTCACCTCTACTGTTTACTGTGACAACAGTACACCCCACACACACACACACACACACTTTTTACTTGTTTAGTTTTTTTATCTTTGTGAGTCAATGTTCTATAGCATAGGCTTGCTTCCAACTGATGATCTCAGTGCCTCCACTTCCTCAGTGCTGAAGTTAGAACTATGTACCCACATTCGGCTTAACATTTCCGTTTCATTTATCTATAATTCAATTTTTAAAAGTCTGGGTTTTTGTATGTGCATGGGTGTTTTGCCTTAATGTATATCTGTCCACCATGTGTGTCTACTGCCCATGGAGACCAGAAGAGGATGCTGGATCTCCTGGCACCAGAGCTGCAGACACTTGTGAAGCACCACGGCACGTGCATGCTGGGACTCAAACCTGGGTGCTCTCTTTAGTACGGAGCCATCTCTCCAGCCTCAAGATTTCCTTTACATGTTGAATAGTACTCATGTTACTGCTTAGTGTTAAATGGAAAAGCTGTTTGTAAAGATTCAGAAAAGGAGGTTCATTAAATTAGAGGTGGGATGCTTAAAAAAATTTAACAGGCCTGCTTTCCCTGAGGCATGGTAGGGAGAAAATTAAATGCAATTGTAGTAGCGGATAAAAGAAAGGGGAAATTGAAGATATATTATTTTAATATAGACAATGCTATTAGGGTTTCCTCAGATAGCTTGTATTCTGTGTTTTGCTTAAGAAAATTCTAGGAGAATCCATAGTGGCCCCATTGACAAACTTCCAAACCTCTCAAAAACTCATGAACAGTGAAGCTTTCTGAACAGTGGAGGCAAGGCCAGGCAAGATGACACACAAGGGCGCAAGTTATCTGTAGGCCAGCTATCTGCAGTGAGACCCGTGTAAATAAGGGAACACATAATGAAGTGGTGAATAATTAGGGGGGAGGGATCTGTGGGATTCCTGATGGGATTAATGAGGTTTTGTTTCTTTGTCTTTTTTTGTTTGTTTGTTTGCTTTTAAAGACAGGATCTCCCTGTGTAGCCCAAACTGGTCTGGACCTCCCAGTGCTGGGTTAAAAGCCTATGTTCTCATAACCAGATAGGTTTTGTTTCCTGAATGGTTAATCTAAAGATTTCTTTCTTTATCCTTTAAATATGGATTATATGCATGTGTGTCTGTGTATACACATATATTTCATATCTAGGAAATATTTCATTATAAAAGAGATTAATAAAAGATAATTGTTAATTACTATTTGATGTAGAGAGTTTAATTCTTTAAATTTATACTCTTGTTTACTTAATGTTGACTTACTCTATAAAATGTAGATTGAAGCTAGCAAGATGGCCCAGCAGATGAGGGTGCTTGCTGCCCATCCTGTTGATCTGTGTTCAGTCCTTGGAACCTAATGGTGAAGAAGGACAATTGACTCCCATAGGCTGTCCTCTGACCTCCACATGCAGGCCACTGTGCCATGCATGTGCACACACACATGGATAGATACATGGAAAAAGTTTTTTGTTTTTAGTGGTAGAGGCTTGATTTGAATTCAGGTCTTCTGGTTACTCCAAGTGGACTTTTTAAAAAGTGTGGTTTGAGGGTACTTTCAGGGTTAAGATTAGTATCATCCACACAGTGCTGAGAGATGTGAGCTATCAAACTACAGTGAAATCTCATCAAAGTGTTAAGAGCACAGAAAGACTGCAGCAGACAAGTTAGAGAGTATGAGTTCTCTGCCTACCAGTCATTCCTTCTGGAACAGTTGAACTGATTTTTAACCAGTTATTCTAAAAGTTCCCTAGAGGTTGCCCAAGTTTAGTTGTTACTGGTTCTAAATTTAGCAAAGCTTCAAAGACTGAGAAAGGAAAATGTTGGGTTGTGTATTTAAAATATGAAGCTTTTAAGTCAAGAACATTAAGAATGCAGTCATCTAACAAAGAAAGCTTCAGTTTAATGCTTGTACAAATGAACTTTCCTGTTTTTAGGCCAAATCTGAAATAGGATCCAGTGTGTCTACAATACTGCTGTGAGTATGATTTTAAAACCATCTTAAATGAATTTTCTATTACCTATCTCAAATGATTTGGGGAGATTTCCTATTAGTTCCTTTCTTTATTAAGAAATATGTCCAAGAAGTAGTTTTCACCTCCACAATTAATAGCTGCGTGTGCACACTGTATTGCCAAATGCTTAGCTTTTCACTAAGAGGTCAAGGCAAGCAGTACACACAGCAGTGTGTGAGGCCAGTAGGAAACTGGCCAGGGCCTAAAACCACATATTTCACCTGCATCTAAAATTGCCCATGTGGTGTCCCTCTGAAAATGACTTGCTCTTCCCTATGGTTTTCCTATTATCTTTCTCGTAGGAACATTGGGGAACATTGCATTCATCATGATTTGAACAATTTTCTTGTTATTTTTGTCTTGAATTCTGCTCATTTAATCCTCAGAGCTGGGTATATATAGTCTCTTATGACTTCCTTTTGGCTGTCATAAGCTGTATTTTTGACTTTAATATTTTAACATCCAACCTTATTAGAACCAGCTTAAGCAAATATATGTCATATGTATTAACCAATGGTTTTCTTTGAAGAATGGATTAATGTTTGCTTTAAAACCTACAGAGATTAAAGCACTTGGAAACTATCCATGTCAACTTTAAAAATTATCAATACCAAGTATAGTTCTTCAAATATAAAATTTTAGAATAAAAGTAACTTTTTATAACATTAAAGTGATCTTTTAATTTCTGGTTTGGAACCCTCTGGACTGGACTGTGTAAAGGAAAGATCTACCTATCTAGATAGCTAGCTATCTGTCTCTGTCTATCATCTGTTCATCTCTTATCTATCTGTCTATCCATCCATGCCTCTGTCTATCTTAGACAAGGCCTAGCTTTGTAGCCCAAGCTAGCCTTCAACAAGCAATCCTCCTTTCTCAGCTACAATTGCATACCTGTGACCCCATGTTCAGTGATGCTCAACAGATTCCTCTCTCCCTATATCTTTTAGTTAGGGTCTTAGTGTGTAGCGCAAGCCAGCCCTTGAACTCACAATCCTCCTGTCTCAGCCTCTAAAGTACTGGTGTACCACCATGCTTGATATTCTTCCTTTGTTTTAAAACATTTTTCCTTATTCCAAGATAGGATAATCATAGAAATTTTTGAAATATAAGTAAGCAAAAATAAAGTTTAAAAGACCTTTAATTGCAACATGCAGGGATAACCACTGTTACTAATATGTTAATATTTTGTGTATATTTTTGAATTCTTTTATAATTTGTTTTTAAATCAGTTCATAAGATACATACAATTTTGTTAGTCTGTTATCAGTTTACAGAAGATCTTGAAAATATTTCTCTGTCATTGTTATTTTTCTCACAACTGATTTACATTATTTCCTTGAATGTTTGACTCAATCTTTTACAGCACTTCTTTCTTTGTACGGAGAAAGTGGAGAAGCTAGGAGAGGTGGAGAAAGTGGAAAAGGTAGAGAAGGTGGAGAAGGTAGAGAAGGTGGAGAAGGTAGAGAAGGTGGGGAAGATAGAGCAGGTGGAGAAGGTGGAGCAGGTGGAGAAGGAAGGTGGGGAAAACTGATTTCCTTTTTAGACAGACAGCTTTGTCAGTGACTCTGAGCTTTCCCTGCCTTTGGCTTCTCCACATGGCAAGGGACTCACGATTACTGCTGTATTTTACCTCAAGTCCCACATGAGCTCCAAAGAATTCTCAACCATATATCCGGCTTGTATAAGTTGCACATAAAGTCATCCACTGGGGACTTACATTAAATAAGAGCTGTCGGGTGTTGTATGCAGAACACAGACTGCACAGGAAATGAGTGCCACACCCACACCATGAACCAGTCATCATGCAAGCTAGAGACACAGCCCTTACCTTCACGCTCTGAGGGGAATAATTCCTGGACTTAAGTTGTTTCAGGTGAATGGGGAATTGAGAAAGGAGAAGCATAATTAACTTACAAGAAAGGCCTTCAAAATGATGGCACGTAGTCATCTACCCTTTTGCAGTCAAGCAAATTAAATTCTTTCCCCACACATATCTCTAAATTGCAATCCTGTATAAGGAAATTACTGAATCTAACCTTAGGCAGTGGACATCTTTTAGAGTTTACATTCAAGCAACAGATCTCTAAGAATTAATTTTGAGACTGACTTCATTTCTTTTGAAGAAACAGACCTTATGCCAGAATCAATTTTTCAAGTATATTTGTAAATGAGTGAGGGTAGCTTCTCATAGTAGATGTGTCTCCATTAGTAAAATCCTCATTGTATGACTTCTGTAATTATGGCATGACAATTTCTCCAGGAAAATAGCCAGTAGCGACAATGAAGTTTCTTTAGTTTGTAGACATATTTCTTCTTATAGAAATTAAATAGTGTGGCAATTTTAGGACTAAGATAGTACTTAAAAGTGCTCATTAGTTAATGGAAGAATTTAGCACAGTTATACAAAATAAGATGAACACATTTTTCTGAGATTGCTTAAATATTTTCTAAAGCAAATAATGTGGAAAACGAGGAAGCTGCTTAAGGAAGAAGATAACCCAGAAAGAATAGCAAAATCCCTTCTCTTGGCCTTTTCCCCCTCCTTCATAATTGGATCTTCAGAAAACAGTTTAGATGAATTTTTATTTCAATTGTTAAATCACCAGTGACTATGTCTGTACTAGAAACAGAAACTGTCTAAAGTTCCCGTCAAAATAACTTCTCATCTAAGCCATTAGGAAGATCTTAATGCTATATACTACTGTCAATCCTAAATTATATATGCTAAGAACCAAATACTACAATCAGAAAATGTCTTAGAACTGATTGACTTTTTTGATGATACTTTTCACCCCTTTCAAAATTTGAAAGAAAAAAAATAATTTTAAAATATGACCACAGTCCTTAGTGCAGTTCAATGTATAAGTGAATATTTTGTTGGTAAAATACTTTGTTTGGAATTTACTGAACTTCTTTTATGCCAACAATAAAATACATTGGGTTTTTGTTTTTCAGTTCACAAATAATAAATATGAAGACGGAACTTTCATTCAACATCCAAGCTCTTGCAGTTTGGGCAAATATATGTTTAGCCAGAAAGTGAGTAATGTTCCCTTTATTGCTGTGTTTCCCATGGTCTCATGTTGAATTTGTGTTTTATATGTCATTGTAGAGTGCTGCCAACATTGTTTTATATTTAGAATAACTCCTAATCATTTCTGCTTAGTTAGAATTTCTATTGCTATGAAGAGACATCATGATGACAGTGACTCTTAAAAAGGAAAACATTTAATTGGGGTTGCTTACAGTTTCAGAGGTTTAGTCCATTATCATCTTGGTGGGACATGGTAGTGTGTGGACAGACATGGTGCTGAAGAAGGAGCTAAGAGGTCTTTGTCTTGATCCCTGGGCAGCAGGGATCTGTGCCCACACTGCGCATAGCTTGAGCATAGGAAACCTCAAAGCCTGCCCCCACAATGACATGCCCACTCCAAGAAAGCCTCCAATGGTGCTGCTCCCTTTGGGGGCCATTTTCTTTCAACCACCACACTTTCTGTTAAAGCAAATATATACTATTTCTTGATGTTTTATTTTATGATTACAAATAAGTGACTTGAAAGATTGGCCATTTGATCATCTCAAACCTTTGATTTTATCCTTTACTCTGCCCTTAGCTAATTTTTCTTATTGACTTGCAAACGAAACCTATTACTATATAATTCCTCCAATAGTTTAAAAAAAGGACAAGCCTTCTTGTCAGGCATTGTGGTGCATGACTGTAAGCCCAGCAGAACCTGAGACAGAACCAGCATGAATTTGAGGCCAGGTTATATAATAAAACTCTGTTTATTTTTACTTATTTACTTTCTGTTCTGTTGGATGCATTTGTTTGTAAATACACATATACCTATTGTTCTTTTTGCCTAACAATTAACATTATAAAATAATGTTAACAACATTTTCCATACTAAAAAAAAAAAGATTGTTTAAATGTCTACATAATGTATTCCACCATGTCATCATGAAAAATTAATTTATGTATCATTTGTGTTGCTTAGGATTGAACCCAGGGCCTTGTACATGAATAGCAAGCATCCTACCACTGGGCTGAGCTGTGTCTGAAGATGTACTGGGAAATTAAATATTCTCCTGTTTGAGGGTCATTAAATTGCTTCCACTTTTTCACTATTATAAGTGGTACTAAAAAGCATTCATGGATTAATGTTTACTTGCATTTCTGGTTATTGCTTGAAGATGTATGTCTGATGTATGGCAGATTGCTGAGTCAGTGATTGTCTATGACGGTACTGGTAGATTACCAAATTATCTTTTCTCAAGGATTGCACTAGTTTACTTTGTCATGCCACTGCTGAATTCTTACTTTGAAATTTGGATTTTAAACCTTAATTTTTAAGCATGAAAGTGTTTTTTATTTTACATATGCTTGATGACTTCTCAGATTTGACAGGATTGCTAGTGTGTATTTTCTATGAGTTCCTGTCTGCTGCTGCACCATTGCAAGTTAACTTGGCTGCAGTATGCAATTGTGTTTGCTATTGTTCTGGCATCAACTATTCCACAGAGATTTTGAATTTTTTGCTCTTTCTTAAAAATAGAAAGTTTTAAAGCTACAGATACTGCCCTATACTTTAAAGCTATATGTATTATTGATATTCATACATATAGGTAATTTTGGACACTTTTGTTTTTGTAGGGACAGACGGCAGTCTTCATTAGTATGGCTTTTCACTGGAATGCTTTTTATTTATTCATTATTCTTTGCTTGGAGAGCAAATTTAGATATTTCAAAACCACTTTTCATGGGTGTGGTAAGTTTTACTTTGATAGAATTTTTAAACAGTAAATTTGTGAAGATTGTACAATTTTGCCCTTCATGAACTTTGTCAAAGGACAAACTATTTAAGAAATAGTAAATATATTATGTATATAGTATATATAGATACTACACACACACACACACACACACACACACACACACACACACATAATCCCAGCACTTGGAAGTCTGAGGCAGGAAGATCAGAAGATCATGGCCAGTGTTTGTTACATAGTGAGTTCGAGAACACCCTGAGAGCCTCATGAGCTCCTGTCTCAAACAAGCAAACAAACAAGTAAAGTGTGTAGTTAACAGAGTAGTTAAGTAGACAAAATAAACCCAAGATAGACTTAATAATTTTGTATCTACGTTCTTGCAAATATAAAAACAACTGCATTTTGCTGGAGTTCCTTTTAGAATAGCAAAAGAAATACGTGTTAAGCAGGGAGGAAAGGGAGCTCCTACCCTGTCCTTTTGTCACCTTTCTGAAGCCTGCGCAAACAAGCGTGATTCTCGAGGTTTTTCTGGCAGCTGTCTCTGATTGAGATAAGGATTTTCGTTTGTATTTTGTTTTGTTTGAGATAAGGTCTCTTTATAACCCAGTCTTTCTATACTGCATAGTTTCCAACCTTCCTAATGCTGTCACCCTTTAATACAGTTCCTCATGTTTGCTGACCCCCAACCATAAAATTACTTTGTGGCTACTTCGTAATTTTAATTTTGCTGCTGTTATGAATCGTAATGTAAATATCTGATATGTGACCCCCTGTGAAAGGGTCATTTGAAACCGAGGGGGTCATGATCCACAGGTTGAGAACTGAGAACTGCTGCTGTAGTGGATTCACTATCTTTCTGCCTCAGTTTCCTGAGTGCTAGGGCCACAGTAAGAGCCACCTTCCCTGCTTCTGTTAGTTCTCACACTGGAAACTATAGATGTAAAGTAGCCCCTTTTTGAATGCTGATCCCACCTGGTCCTTTGTGTGTATGGTCATGAAACCTAATTAACGATGCTCTTCTTGACCATCTAAGCTTTGAACCAAGCGAGGGAAAGATAAGCTACTCTAAGCTGGTGGGTGATCACCTTTATCACTGAGGAAGCTGTGGTTGGAGAGTGTAACTTCTTCCTGTGAGCAGGGGAGTTTCCACCTTCCAAGACAGATGGTCCTAGCAACCACTCACAAGCAGTGCTGCACACCATTCGGCCCTACCAACTGGAGCCTCTGGGAGAGTGCACTGTGAACCAGTACTTCCTGTAGGTGACTCATTTGCGATAGAAACAGAGGAAAGCAGAAGGCTGTGTTGGCCTGGTGGAAGCTACCAGTTTTCTTATCACATTAGTTCCCTTCGTCCTACGAAAAGACATCAGGGAGGTGTGTAGGGAAGGCAAGTGTTTCTCCCTAGAGTAAAGCCAGAGCATTTCTTCATCTTTTTCACCTACATTGCTGGAGCAGAGATGAAGCCTGTAGTTCTGAGATGACTATGTGGGCACATGCCAAATTAGGAAGGAGGAACATTGGAAAATTGGAAAGTAAATTGACCTAGAACTGGACTAGAGAAGTGAATTAACAAGGCCTAATGATAATAGGTATAAGAAGCTAAGTGTAAGTGATAAATGTTTTTTAAACTATGTAAGTTCCAATTGATCACTTAAACCTGTCAGCTGGACATACTGTCTGCATGTCTCCTTCCCAGGTGGAACGATTCTGGATGCAGAGCAATGCAGTGGTGGCTGTTCTCGCTGGCCTTGGTTTGGCCACACTTGTGTCTGAGACTAACCGAGTGCTGAACTGCAATGGGATTCAATATCTGGAATGGCTGTCAGCAACTCTTTTTGTAACTTACCAAATATATTCAAATTACAGGTAATAACATACAGGTATTTTCTGAAAAGTAGTACTTAACACTAGAGATATTTGCCTGTGTAGATTCTAGGACTTTCGTTTTTCCTTTGATGACTAAGATCAGTGAAAACAGCTGAGTATGATGGCTGGCTGTGAAGCTCTGACGTTTGTCACACCTCTGGCAGTGGTGTGGATCAAGGCCATCGTAAATGAGTGGAAGCCATGGGTAGAGACCATGTATTTTCCTCTAAAGAACTAGAGAAATACATTGAAGAATCCAGATATATGTAAACATTCATAATTAAAATACCCTTAGATGGAAAATTAAAAGATTTGGGGTTCTTGTGTATCCCTTTATGGTCCAAAATTTTCATCTTTTGAATAATACTTGACCATTTTCTAATTAACCATGTATGAGAGAGTATTCATCATTTTCAAGTTAAAGTCTAAAAGTTAGCTATTACATATTTTTTCAAAATTTTTAAATAACCTTACAATGAAAACCTCAGAGTAAACAAAAAGTTTTTCAGTTATTAAATGACAGTTCATTTATTTCTAGCAGTATAGCCCTTTAAATGATTTGTTAGAGTGATTCTGACTAGTACAATTTTAAAAGATAAAATTTTCTCTTGCAGCTTAGCTTTTTAAAACTAATTTTTGCTGGGCATGGTAGCACCTGCTTTTAGTACCATCGCTTGGGACGCTGAAGCAGGTAGATCTCTGTGAGTTCAAGGGCAGCCTGTTTTACATAGAAAGTTCCAGGGCAGCTGGAGCTACATAGTTAAGACTCTGTCTCAAAATTAATTAATTAATTAATTAATTAATTCTGTAGGTTGGTATTCAAGGAGTGGGCTTCATTTAGCATCTTCCCATATTCTTCCCATATGCACCATTGCACTTGGTTCTCATGTTCCCTTTCCCCCACTGCTCCTCCCCATGGGGTGGTGGTTCTCCTGTCTGTTATCCTCTCTATTGTCACCTTCCTTAAGAACTACCTGGGGGGGGAGTGGGCACGGACACAGACACAACACGACTGGGATTGGAATATAAAAAATAAATTAATAAAAAAAGAAAAAAAGAACTACCCGAATGACCCCATTTCTAGTCTTGTGACTTCAAAACACATACACATGCATACGTTCTTACATACATATACATTTACACATGCATGTACATAGATACACATATGTACATACATACACACATATACATATGCACATACATACACATAATTTTAAATCTTGGATCCACATATGAGAGAAAACTATAGTATTTGTCTTTCTGAGTGTGACTATTTAGTTATTATAATAATTTACAGTTGCATCCATTCTCTTGAAAATGTCATGATTTGATTTTTATTGCTGTATAAAATCCCAGTGTATATGTATATCATCTTTGAATATCTACCTATGTGTTGATGAATTATGCTGCTTCCTGACTAGTGTGCATAGTGCAACTACAAACAAAGATGTGTAAACATGTTTCTTGTGATCATATAAAATCCTTTAGATAAGTGGTGAAGAGTGGTATAGCTGAGTAATACAGTACTTGCTTCCTTTGTGGCTGCACAAACTTTTCAAGCACTGAGTAAGGATTCCTCTTTCCTTGCTTCCTTGCTGTCTGTTGTTTGTTTTCTTAGTGATAGCAATGCTGATTGGAGGGAGATGGAATGTCTAAGCAGTTTTAATTTGCATTCCCCTTGTGGCTAAGGATGTTAGACCCCTTTCCAAGTAATTGGCTGTTGTGTGATGTTTTACTCTTTGGCTCTTTAGTCTTTTGGGGGAACCCACCACCCAACTCCCAATTAAATCACACATGGAGGCTTGTTCTTAGTTATGAATGCTCAGCCTTAGCTTGACTTGTTTCTTGCCAGCTTTTCTAACTTCAATTATCCTAACTTTTGCCTCTGGGCTTTTTCCTTTCTTACTTTTGGCTTACTCCTCGGCTGGCTGTGTAACTGGATGGCTGGCTCCTGATGTCCTCCTCCTTCTCTGGCTACTTCTCTTGTTCCTTCATCACTTCTCCTCTTTCTCCTATTTATTCTCTTTGCCTGCCGGCCCCACCTATCCTTTCTCCTGCCTCAATATTGGCCATTCAGCTCTTTATTAGATCATCAGGTGTTTTAGACAAAGAATCACAGTTTCACAGAGTTAAATGCAGCATAAACAAAAGCAACAAATCTCTACATCATTAAACAAATTTTCCAGAGCATAAACAAATGTAACATATCTTAAAATAATATTCTACAACTATTGGCCATTTACATTTCTTTTGAACATGGTATATTCCATTTATTCACCCATATATTGATTGTTGTTCTTGTATTGTTGTATTAATCCCCATCCTATGCATAGTTGGTGATGATTGTTTTTCAGTTCTGATGATTGTTTCCTTGGTTGTGCAGAAGCTTCTTAATTTCATGTTATTCCACCTGTCACCTCTTGGCATTATTTCCTGTGCTAATGGATCGTGTTCAGAAAATCCTTGCCTATGCCTGTGTTTGAAGTATTAAGTCCTACATAAAGGGCTTTTTTCATGTGTGTGTATGATAAGAAATATGGATCTAGTTTTTCCAGCATCATTTGTTAAGCAAACTATCTTTTTTCAAATTTATTTTTGACAGCTTTGTCAAAATTTGGTGGCTGTAACAGGATTTTTTTCTGGATCTTCCTTCTGTGCTACTGATCTACCTGTCTGTTTTTATTCTAGTACCATGTTTTGTTTTGTTTTGACTGTGGCTCGGTAATATAGTATAAGACCAGTATTGTGATGGAATCAACACTGTTCTTTCTGCCTGTGCTTCTGTGTGGATTTTAGTACTTTTATTTAATTTTGTGAAGCTAGACATTGGGGTTTTGAGAGGAATTATGCAGAATCAATTAGTTGTTTTAGATACTATAGCCATTTCCACTATATTAATTCTGCCTAATCATGAGCATGGGAGATCTTTCAATCTTCTAGTATTTTCTTGAAGTTCATCATGTCTTAAAGTTTTTACTGTACAGATCTCTTACCTTCTTGATTAGGTTTTTTCCTAGATATTTTTCAAAAAGATTGTGAATAGGAAGTTTTTTCACTGATTTCTTTCTCAGAAAGTTCATTATCGGCATATAGAAAACTGGTAGTGTTGATATTCTGATTTTGTATCCTGATACTTTACTGAAAGTGTTTATCAGGTCTAAGTTTTCTGGTAGAAATAAGATCTTTTAAATAAAGGATTTTGTTGTCTGCAAATAGTAATAAATTGACTTCTTTCTTCCTATTTGTATGTCTTTTATTTGTTACTGTTATCTTATTGCTCTAGCTAAGACTTCAAGAATTATATTGAATAAGACTGGAGAGGAAAGAGTAGGTGTCCTTGTCTTGTAGGCTTTAGAGGAAATTCTCTCAATTTCCCCCCCACTTAGTATAATATTGCCTATAGGCTTGTCACATATAACCCTTAGTATGTTGAGGTATGTTCCTTCTATTCTTAGTAACTTCGTGGCTTTTATTATGGCGGTATGTTGAACATTGATGAAGACTTTGTGCATCAATTAAGATGCACAGTACATCTTGAAATTATTACTGAGATGATCATACAATTTCTGTCCCTGTCTTTATGGGCTAAATTAGACTTACTGATTTGTGTATGTTGAAACAGTCTTAATCTCTAGAGTTAAAACAACTCTGCCATGGTATGTGATTTTCTTAACGTGTTCTTGAATTCAATTTCTAAGAATTTAAAAGATTTATAATTTTATTTTAAATTTTGTATATGTGGGGGGAAATATGCATGTAAGTGAAGGTATCCAGAGATACCAGAGATATTGGATCATCCTGAAGCTAAAGCTGTAGGGATTTGTGAGCCATCCATCGTGGGGGCTAGGTACCAAATTCGGGTCCTCTGAAGAGCAGTATGTGCTCATTACTAAGCCAGTTTCCAAAAACAAATTATTGGTAATTCTTGCATACTTAATCACCAGGGAAATTGCTCTACAGTTTCTTTTACTGCGTCCTTTTCTGGTTTTAGCTTGGTAGCACTTGCTCCCTTTCTGTCTTATAGAACAGTTTAAGGAACATGGTTGTTAAAGATTTGATAGAATTCTCCCAATAAATCCATATAGACAGAACTTTTCTTTAGAGTAGGATTTTTTATTAATGTTTCAATCTCAGCAATTTTTATGGACCTATCTAAATTTATGTACTCTTGATTTAATTTTGGTAGTTCATATATGCCTAAGAATTTTATTTATATCTTCTAGATTTTTTAATGACCCTCTGTTTATTAAGGAGTGTAATTAATGTTCAGTCTTCACATGTTTGTGGCTTCTGTAATTTTTCTTGTATTGATTTCTAGTTTTATTATACTGTGATCTGGCATATGTAAGGATTTTTGTTATTTTGTATTTGGTTAAGTCTTGGTTTATGTTCTAGATTACTTCCATAAGTTGCTGAGATGAATATGCATTCTGCTTTTGTTGCCATATATCTGTTAAGTCCACTTGGTCTGTGATGTAGTTTACCTGTGACATTTCTTGTTGGTTTTTATTTTGGATGACCTGTCTAGAGGTGGCAGAAGGATATTGAAATCGCCTAGTGTCATTGCTCTGAACTTTTATGTCCATGAATGCTAGTTTTTGAAATTGAGACTTCCCCCAGCATTTGAGGCCTGTGTGTTTACAGTTGTTTCATTTTGTTGGTGGATTGTTCTCTATTTGTCATCAGTAGCCATTCTTATCTCTTCTGGATAATTTGGGTTTAAAGTCCACTTTATTGAACATCAGGATAGCTATGCTAGCTTTCTTTTTCTTTTTCTTTTATTGCTTTCACTTACTTCCATCCATTGGCTTTGTCTGTGGGTGTCTTTACAGTGTGTCTTCTGTCACTGTGCATAGTATCCTTTAAGTATCTTCTCCTGCACCTGTTTGGCAGTCATGAACTACATTAGTTTGTGCTTGCCTTGAAATTTCTTTATTTCTCCTCATCTGGCTGTGGGCTTATTTATTTATTTATTTATTTATTTATTTATTTATTTATTTTGGTTGGTTGGTTGGTTGGTTAGTTTTTTTAGACAGGTTTTCTCTGTATATCCCTGGCTGTCCCGGAACTCACTTTACTAGGCCAGGCTGGCCTTGAACTCAGAGAGCCACCAACCTCTGATTCCCAAGTGTTAGGTTAAAAATGTATGCTGCCATTATTTTTTTGCCATCATCACTTTTAAAAGATACCTTTGCAGTATATAGCAGTTTTGCTTGGCAGTTATTTACTTTAGAAACTTGAAAGCTATCATCCCATGCTTTCCTGGCTTTGAGGGCTGCTGATGAAAGAGGTTGTGTTATTCTGCTGGTTCTCCCTTTATGGGTGAGTTGGCCTGTTCCCTTTACAGCTTTTTTTTTTCTACTTCTTTGCTTCAGTTTGGACATCCTGCCTTTAATATGTGTTTAAGAGCTTCTTCTTCAGTCATGTGTACATGGGTTCTTAATGCTTCTTGTGTCTGGATATCCATCTCTCTCTAGATTTAGGAAACATTCTGCTATAGTTTTATTAAATAGGTTTTCTATGTCTTTAGTGTATATTATTTCATCTCCTTCTTCTAGCCTGTGGGTTCTTAGATTTGACCTCTTGATTATATCCCAGAGTTTGTGGATATTATGGTCAGGTTTGTTTATTTTTTTCCTTATTGATATTTGAATGCCATATTTCATCAACCTTGCCTTCTCTTTCCAATAGTACTCCTTTGGCTTGGGCAGATCTGCTGGTGATGTTTTCCAGCTTGCTTTTATTTGATTCATTGACTTTTTCTCTTCCAAACTTTCTACTTACTTTCTTTCACTACCTACCAAATCTCAGTTTTCATGCTGAATTTTTCTTCCATGTTGCTCATTTCTTATCCTTTTTGCTTAAATTTTTTCCTCTGGGTTGCTAACTTTCCTCTCTGGGTTTAGATTAAATTCTTCTGCTTGTTGGTATCTTCTTTTAGATCATCACTGTAAAGATAAAACTTTGAAATATTTACCTGGAACTTGACCTATCTCAGTATCTTTGAGTTCACTGGTGGAGGAATTATGATCTTTTGTGGGGTCATATTGTTTTGATGCTAATGTTTCTTGCATTTCTGCAATGGATTTATTTCTATAGCTATTTGGATATTTCTTCTAGATATGGGGGAGGATCTTATTAAGAAACCTACTCTTGAAGACTCCATCCTCAGTACCACTTAGTGAGGAGGCAACAAACTGCCATAGCAGCAATATCATCAAACCATACAGAATATGTAAATACATTTAAAAACTGCTAAGTCCACTACAGCATTGCCAATTACCACAGACTTGAAAATGACAAAACTAGGAAAATGGACAATAAAGTAAAAAATTATTTCAAATAATTGTGGAAATAGTAAAGGAAGGAAATCAAGAAGAGAGAAAAGGGTGGGGCAGGAGTAAATAAAAGAAAAAAGAAAGAAGAGCATTGTGGGGGAGAAGAGAAGGAAGAAAGGGCAGCAGAAATTCCTCAGTACCCAAGAGGCTCAGACAGAAATCAGACAAATGTGAGAAGGATAAAAACATAAGAGAATGTTGTTTTGTTTTGAGACATCCTTACTTTGTGTAGTCCCAACTGTCCTAGAACTCACAGAGATCCACCTGCCTCTGTCTCCTGAGTACTGGGTTTAAGGGTGTTTGCCACCATTGCTGGCTGAGAATGTTTTAAAAGCTAGTAATGTAAACAGAGGGAGAGAGATAGAGAAGATAAAAATAAACTAAGAAAGAGAAAATGTGTTGCCCCAGCAGAAAAATATGACAACAAAATTATATGAATGCTTAAAGGAGGATAGCAAATAAAAACATTTATTTTTAACAAATTTCTTTAAACTATTTAATTACATTGTATTTTATTTTTTGAATTGGGGGGTGGTGGTATGCCATGCCACAGCTTAAGTGTGGAGGTCAGAGGACCACTTGAAGGCGTTGGTTCTCTCCTTCCATCATATCTTAGAGTCCCAGGGGTCACACTCAGGTCATCAGGCTTGGCAACAAGTCCTTTACCCTCTGAGACATCTTGCCATCCCCTGTGAGACATCTTGCCATCCTGTGAAAAAGGTTTGAAAATTCCGAAAATAAATTTTAAAAGTCCTGCTAAATGTGTAGGAAAAAAAGAAAAGAACCAAGGGAGTTGGGGGTAAGGTGTGTTACAACAGCTTCTTTTGGGGTCCTTGAGAATTGGAGACTTCTACTTACGTATGGGGCAGGAGCCATTTGAACTTGTGGGCTCCTGTGTTTCCTTATTTATGCTGTGGAGGAGTCTGTGTTGAACAAGTTGTCCAATGTCCACAAGAGCAGTCCTCACAGAAGCCATTTTCCTTCTTGTGTATTAGGGCCCTCTGCTGGCCACACTTGGCTTTGCAGTCTGTGTGATGGGAAGATTCCCTCACCTGAGCCTCCCTAGATGATGCTCCCTGGAGGCTGGAGTGTCTCCCATGTATCTTGGCAGTGTGGGAAGCAGCCACAGCACTGACATGATCACAGGCAGAGGACATATCTTCCTACATTCAAAGCCATCTGAGTTTGAGTTCCCTGCTGGACGGTACAGCTGTGGGTGTCACGTACACCCCTGGAACCTCAGAGTTCACAGGCTCTACAGCAGTGAACAAAGATAGGTGGCTCCTGATCTTGACCTCCCTGACATCTCAGACTTGGAACTGTCAAACTGCAGGGAAATTCTGTTGGTGGGTTCCCCCCAACACACAGCATGCTCCCTCCCTCCCTCCCCTTCCACCCTCCCCCACCATTTTCCAGCCTGAACCCCAGCTTCCTGCCATTTCCCCTCTGTTATCAGTATCTGTCTGTCCCTCCTATTCTCCACAACTGCCTCTCTCGTCTTCTCTCACTCGCAGGTTGTGGCAGGTCAAATAAGTCTCCTGACCTGTGGATGTTTCGTGACCTGTAGCCCACAGAGTAGCTCAGAATTTTCAGAATGGACTCTCTGTCACAGTGCCTACCCAATGCCCTTTGAGTCATACACTGTGACAAAGTAGGGTTTTTCTTCTCAGCTGACTAGTTTTCTAGGGGAATTATAGTCTTACCAAAACCCCACTCCTGGATTTGAAGCTCATGAGGGCTGTGGGCCTTCCTGAGGCAGGCTGCTTAGGTTGTGCCTGGCTTACCTTTGGAAGTACCCACTGAGTCCCATCCCACATCAGGGTTCTGAGTGGCCAGAATTGTTCTGCTGACTTTTGTGTGCTGGGCATCTTTGCTTCTGCCTTTTTCCAGTACTTTCCTACTTTCTTCATAGGCTCCCAAAGCTCTTTCTCTCTCTCTGTCTCTGTCTTTGGGATAAAGTCTGGGTTGTTTTGTTTTTGTTTTAATCTGAATCTCCCCTTCACTGCCCCTCATAGAAGCAGCCTCTAGTGTGCCATCTTAGGTAAGATCCTTACCACCTCACTTTCATTACTAAGTCTCTTTATAATCCCAGGCTGGAGGCTGCATGAGGAAGCCTTCATCACCGTTACCTTGTGAGGTGGGCTGCACATCCCATCAGTGGTCCCAAGGAGAAGTCACTAAGCCACATATGTCCCAACCTTATCCAACCCAATCTCAGTCTCTCGTGTCCATCTTCTCAGGTCTTTGAGGAATGTTCAGCCTCAGCACTGGTGATGTACACACACTGGGCAGATGGTCTGTTTTTCTTTTATTTGCCCCCAGAGAATGGAATGAATAGCAACTTTCCTGGTGACAAAATGTAAGCTAACATTAGCAAAGGACAGGATGTTCCTTGTAGGAAACAGTGCATTGCAAGGGCAGGGGCAGTGCTCTTTGCCTTGTGATACCAACCTAGTGATTCAACTTAGCACCTCCTCAACCCAGAAAAGAGGATGACAGAAAGACAAGGAGTTACAGGGAATGACATCACTTGTTTTTTGTTGTGTTTTGGTGCTTTTTCCTTCGATAGTCTTGTCTTCCTTCATATATTCTCTGCTCATTCACCTTTTCTTTGGCATTAGAAAGCCCATTTCATTCTTGAGAAGAGCCGTGCTACAGTGGTTAGCGTTGGTAGGTGACAGTTAAGGGGCTTCGGACAGCTCAGCAAATGCAGTCACTTCCTTCTCAGTGTTCTGATCCCTAGTGTCTTCCTGACCCCCCGCCCCAGGGGAAGGTGTGGGAAGGTGGTGGGAAGCCTCAACACTGCACAAGCCATAGTCACACAGGTGCCATATCAACTCCTGTCAGAAATATCAGATCTTGTATTCTGCTTGTGTTTCTGACTATTCTTTTGGAGGAAATGGAATTAAGATGAAATTGCCTTAATTCTACATAGTCAGAAACTACTTTGATAACTGAAATTGGATTACTTGGGGTGGAGAATTACACATGAAACAGACCGTTTGCTTTCCATGGACATGGTTGTAAATTGGTGGCAGTAATGCAGTGGGCTTTTCTTTCTCCTTTCATTTTGCTTAGCACCTCTCTAAAAAAAAAAGCTGAGATGATGCTGGACATGGTTGCTCACGCCTTTACTCAGGAGGCAGAGGCAGGCAGATCTCTGAGTTTGAGGCCAGCCTGGTCTACAAATCCAGTTACAGAACAGCAAGACCTACCCAGAGAAGCCCTGTCTCAAAAATAAAATAAACGTAAGGCTGAGCTGATGAGCTGTTCTCCCAAGTGGTGTGCCTTCTCAGAGAGCAGCTGGTGGGATGTAGCCCTAAGTGTGGATGAAGACGGAAAGGAGGGGAGGGAAAGCATAGAGAAGAAGCCAGGCCTCTTTACATGGTGCAAATGTGCTGCTGTTCTAATTTGCTGAAAAAAAATCTTTTCATTTAGCATTTGTGACCAAAGAACCAATAATGTGATCGATCAGTTTGCACGAAACCTTCTGGACTCCATGCCTCGTGATGCAATCATCTTACTCAGGGGAGATTTGCCAGGGAATTCTCTCCGTTACTTGCATTACTGTGAGGGGTTGAGGCCAGATGTTTCCCTAGTGGATCAAGAAGTAAGTATAAGAAAAATATTCTCAGCATAAATCAACCTTTAACCACATCATTCATGGTGGCATATGCCTGTGACTTGAGTCCAAGATTTTGAAACCACTCTGAGCGAACAGTATGATCCATCCACATAAACAGATAGGTAAGCATTTTTTTAGAAATATGGTTGGGTAAAGTTCTCATAATCATTCTTTTTGTGTGTGGGGGGAGGGGAGGTTCTATGAGGAGAGGAAATAGGTTTTTGCTTTTGACCGCATCTTGCAGTATAGACCAAGGTGACCTGGAATTCCCTGTACTCCTGCCTTGGCCACATAAGTGCTGGGACTACCAGTGTACACCACAGCTGTAATCACTCAGGATGCCTAGATCACAGTCCTGTTTATTTGGGGCTAATTTATAACTTATTTCTTCATCACTTAAGCTGTTTAATCAATATGCCTCATCTTAGAGTCAAGTAATAGACTAGATTGTTTATCTTTAACCAGTTCACCAAGCAAATAACATTTGAACACTGACCTACCTATGAAAATTAAATTAATTAAATATAAAAATGTGGGCAAGCAAACATTTCATTTAAATTGGAAATTATTAATTATAACACAGCTATAGAATTTTTATTTAAACTATTGATCCTATAACAGAAATGTGTTAGGAGGAACTTTTAAGAACTGTGATGACTGAGCAGAATAGATGGGGGTTCACCTTTTAAGATCACCCCTGGCTGCTCTTTCAAGGGATCCAGACAGGATTCCCAGCACCTATCTATACAACTAACTCACAACCATCCATAACTCCAGGTCCACAGAATCCAGTACCTGCTTCTGGTGTCTAAGGGCACCGGGTATGTACATAGTACAGACATACATGCAGGCAAAATACACATACATATAAAATTAAGTTGAAAAACAGTTTTCCTAGACTGGGAGCATAGCTGAGTTGGAAGAGGGCTTGCCAAGCTCACACAGATATCCTCAGCACCATATAAACTGGGTATGGAGGTACACACCTGTAACCCCAGCACTTAGGAGGAAAAGCTGGAGGATCAGAGGTTAAAGGTCATCCTTAACTACTCAGATAGGTCAAAGCCATCCTCATGTATACAAGACTATGTCTCAAAAGAAACAAGCAAATTAAAAAAGCAAGTTTCTGAAGTTTCTGAAACTGAAAAATGACACTTAATTATAGGATTTATTATTTTAATCATAAATGCCAAAAAAGAGAACAAATCCAGTAGTCCTTAAGGAAGAGAGAAACTCCAAATCCTGAAGGAGTAGTGTGACTGGTTCAGCTGAGCTGGCCATCTGGCTCTCCTAGTAAATGATGGGAACCTCAAGAAAATAGGTTTGCAATAGCCCTGGGTGGGGATTTCACACATTGTACATACGAGCAGTTTGCTTCAGGTGTGAGCTGTACAAACAGACAGGCAGACTTGAGTGTCAATCCCAATTCTGAGATCTAGGTCTTGATAACTTAGTACTGTTTGAAACAGCAGTAGGCGTGGTTGGAAACCATGGATTTCAAAGAACATCACACTCTGACTAAGGTTCTCACTCTGGTCACTTCTCAGATGTGTGATGAGACTAATGGTTTTTCCTCTGAGAACTTCTGTTGGCTTAGTCATAGATGTAAAGATGCTTTTGAACACTTGAAACAAGAGTGCCCAACTAAGAGCAGTTTAAACTGTGACACTTCTGTGTCACAGAGCAAGTACTCTGGAGCAAGGAGGTCTTAGGACTGATGATGCAAACAGTGATGTCAGTGGTCTTATAATTTGTTTTCTGGTTCTGTGATAAAACACTGACTAAAACCAAGTTGGGAGAGGAAAGTGTTTGCTTGGCTTACAGGTTATAGACCATCACAGCAAGGGAAGCCAAGTCACAAACTCAAGACAGAAGCTGGAGCAGAGACCACAGAGGAACACAGTTTACTGGCTTGCTCTCATAGCTTGCTTACTCTGCTTTCTTACACCACCTAGGACCACCTGCCCAGGGCTGGTACCACCCATAGTGGGTTGGGCCTTCCCATATCAATCACTAATTAGGGAAATGCATCACAGATGTGTTCGGGCCAGCCTGATGATTGGAAGCTATTATCCTTTGAGGGCCCTCCTTCCAGGTGATTCTAGCTTGTGTTCAGGTGTCAGAAATTAACCAGCACAGATGCCTAGTTTCAAACCTCACATCCCTAAACAAAGCAGGATGCTTCGTGGCCTGCTGGCATAGCCCTCTGTTGAGAGTAACACGTTTTTCAGAGCTCCCAAAAACTTAAGCAATGTAGTTTATAATGCCCACTTTTAAAACACTCAATAGCAAAGGTGAATCACTAGGCCTGAGCACATTGCTTCCTGAGAGAGTTGATTGTAATTGGGAGTGTGTTTGTAAAAAAAGGAGATAGTAACTGTTAATGGGCCAACAATGGTATCTCATAGAATTATAATAAGATTATTATGAGATTATCCGAGGTGTATTAATTTCATAGCATATTGCCCAATTGATGTGAATAGCCCCAAGTACTGAAACTATTCTTTGGGTTGTGTAATATATGCATTTAAAATTAATTTGTCATTTGTTAATTGAATGACTTATACAAGGTAAGTAAAATATAAACACAATTGCTTAGAAAATCATATTCAATTGTAAACAGGCGTCTTTTCTATGAAAATACAGAACTAAGTATACAATTGGGAAAAGTGATATTTTTCTGACAGTTTATTTTAATGAAAAGAAAAGTGAATCTAGTTGTGGTGACACATACCTATAATCTCAGTTGGTTCTTAGGAGCCACCAGCAGGAGGATCAAGAGTTTGAAGCCATCTGGGTGTGAAGGCACACACATTTAATCCCAGTACTTGGGAGGCAGAGACAGGCAGATCTCTGTGAGGTCAAGGCCAACCTGATATACAAAGTGAATTCTAGACCAGCTAAGGTGACCCTGTCTCAACAAAACAAAACAAGCCTAAGCTAGCCTATGTTGCCAATGAGATAATCTTTGTAATTAAAGTCCCTGACTCAAAAATCAAAACAAAATAAAAGGATATGTGATTAATTGGGTACTACTAATAAATTCAGATAATTTAGCCAAAAAGGTTTTCAGCCTTGAGGGGCCTAGGTTATTATATAACTGAGCTTCCCAGGGGCAGAGATTATATCTTATTTGTTATAAGTGAGCAACACTTAAGAAGATGAATGTAGTAACGATACATTTGTGTATTTTGTCTAGGTTATTTGGTCTGTCCATCAAAGACATTTCAACTACAACTAAAATAATTGGAGAACTGTTGTGTGCTATGCAATGTGCTAGGTGCACAGATATGAAAAGATACAGTAACTTCCCCCTGGGAGCTCAGGCTAGTGAGGAGTAGGCCTAGAACTAGACCGGAGGTAGGTACGGAGGCTGGGAAGGTGGAAGGGCTTGCCAGGGCTGTGTCTTTGCTGGTTCTGAGAATCAAGTTCCATTCTCTAAGATTGGAGATCATCATGGGAATTGTCAGATGCATGGAGGTGAAGTAAAACCAGAGAAGTGGTCATCTCTTAAGCTATGAAACCTAAGAAGTCATTTTTAAAGACATAGCAGTGCCACATTCCTTGGTTTGCTTGAATGAATTTTTTCCAATTATTTAATGAGTATATCTCCATTTTTTAACCTTTCCATGGCTGTTGGTGAACCTGATACTTTGCAACATGTGTAGCCTCCTTGTGATCTCTCTGACAGATGATGACGTATGAGTGGTATTTACCCAAGATGGCAAGACATCTACCAGGAGTGCACTTTCCTGGGGACCGATGGAACCCTGTGGAAGGAGTATTACCTAGTGGAATGGTCACATTCAATCTTTATCACTTTCTGGAAATGAATAAACAGTAAGCATTCTTTTCATATAATAGCTTTTCTAAAATTGTAAGCTTTTCTAAAATTGTTTCTGAAGCAGCTGTGCCTCATCCAAAAGACCAATTTTCTACCTATTTCCCTGTCACCAGTGAGATTATCTTTGTAATTAAATTGAATATCTGTGCATAAATGAGGCCAGGCAGAAATAAATGTTATTGTTCTGGGTAAAAGAAAAATAAAGACAGATTAGCAAGAACAGCAAATAAGATCTTAGCACAATCCTGAGAAATTGGAGATGTGCCTGCCTACTTGAAATCATTGCAGGTGGATCTCAAGCAATTATGGTTCCCTCCTGATCAGCACTGTGGCCCCTTTTAAGTGTAAAACATTTTTTTCCAGGAATAATCACTATGTAAAAATAGCATAAGCATTTTTATAAAGGATAAAACATTTTTATAAATAAGAAAAACACCTACAGTTTATGCTAGCTGAGGGTAAAATAAGAGAATTGTCATTTCTGTACTTGAGAACATGAAATGATTTGTAGTTAGGGTCAAGACTAAGTGAGTCCTCAGTGGTGAGTCCTAGCATTGCTTCTGTCTGAGATGCTTGGGACTGTCCCCAGCTTGAAAAAGAAGCTGTTGGATCATGCTTTGTTTTTTCTTGTTAAGAGAACTTTAAATTTTTTTATAAATTCCAATGTCAAGTTATTCTTTGGTAGGGACACAAAATGTAGTTTTTCAGTGTGCTGCTGAGCCTATCATCAGTGGCTGATGGAGTGATAGAAAGGGAATAGGTACGTACAAATGTGTTATGAGAAAAGCATTAAATTATTATATTCAGAAGATAGATGCAACAAGCCAATAGCATTCCCAAACTGGCATTTTTGTGAGTTTCATTTAATTCTGCTTCAAATTTTCCAAATATTTGCTCTGTTACAGCTTGTGTTAGGCCCTGGCAATAAAAGCATAAGTGAGGGTCAGGTCCAAATCCCAGTGGACCATGGTCTAGTTGGCTGTATACAGTGTTGTGAATAAAACTAGGCAGGGTCTGGGAAGTTCTTCACTAGCAATTGTACTAAATAGATTATTTGACCATATAAGCTAAGCATTCTGGGAACATAGGCAAGAAGCCATTAATTTTGCCTGTGGTTTCTCATTCAGCATATGTTCAGAAATTAGAGTTGGGATTGCAGGAATGGCTCAGCAGTTTAGAGGACTTACTAGCTGCTCTTCTAGAAGACCTTGAGGACCTAAAGGATCTAGAAGACATGGTTCAGTTCCCTGTCCCCAGCTTACAATGGCTTATAACTCTGGGTCCAAGGGATCTAAAGCCCTCTTCTGCCTCATGGCCACACACACACACACACACACACACACACACACACACACACACACACTGTACACATAAAAAGAAAAGAAATGAGAGTCTAACATGGTCCAAGAACAATATTTTTGAAATGATCACAGCTCCCTGGGAAATAAGGCACTACAGAAAAACTGTCAAGGGCACCACTGTTGTCATTTTGATCAACTGGCTTTGAATTCTAGCTGTTTGTATCATAAGTTACTCATTCACATACACATGTACATGTAACCAACCACATATATGGTGTATTCTGTGGAGAGGCTAATCCAGCTTCTTTTACCTCACATGTCATAAGCATTTCCAGTGGAGTCAGTCTTACAAACTCATAGGATGAATTTCACAGACAATGAAGAGATTCAGTTTCCAAACAGTTGTGTTATAGGTAAGTGCTTAAGAGAGAGAAAGCAAGCAGAGGTCCTATGTAGCAAGAGCAGTCTCAGGTAAGGGCTGTCACCGAGCATCCTGCTCTAAGGGCTGATGAAGTTTTGTTAGATTGAGGCTTTGGGTGGGGAGAGCTGCTCAGCCGGGTTGTCCCACCCACAGGTATTCATGCACTTCTCCATCCTGGTTTCTGAACTGGAGTTTGGGCACACTCGAGGGATTTGATTCCTCATAGCCGTCCAGGCAGCTGTGTTCATTAGGTCACTGTACAAAAAGAGAAAGATTAAAACAAACCAGAACACACAACGGAGTCCTTAAACATTTTTGGTGTTTTTGTCCTCCGGCCAGGATAGAACTACCAGTAGTAAAACCAAGGACATTTCTGGTTTCTCATTTTTGAGTCCGCATCTCTGTCTGACCAGTTTTTAACCTTTCACATGACTACCCAGAGTCTGGTCCAACCTAGATAGTAGGTTTACACAATTGGCCATACCCTGGAAGGAGAGTGAGGATGGATGCCCTGCTGGTTTGGTAGGATGTTGGTTCTGGGTCCAGGGTCTGCTGATCATTTCCAAATCAGGGCCCTCAGATGGCTGCTGCTGGGTTGGTTCCTCTAGAGCCTGGCTGAGTGCCCTTGGAAGCACTGCATCTTCCCCAGCTACAAGTCAGATGCTGCATGTGGCTTTCACCAGCCTAGGACCAGGCAGAGGAAGTAAGTGTGAGGGGAAATAGGAAATCTAAGCTGACAAATTGTCTTCTTTCAAAGTTAGCAAAGTCATTTACTTTCAAATAACTTCTAATACTCTGCACCTTTTTCTTTCTGCTTACCAACCACAAATAGGAAGAGAACAACTGTTTAAGCCATTTCTGTTTCTAACTTTTGTAGTAGGCTTGAAGGTTCCTAACAGTTATTCAAATCTGATTAATTTAATTCCAGCCAGTATTTATTATGTGTTAACCTCATGCTGTGTGGCATTCAAAGTTAATGCAGGGACAGAGCGCCTATCCTCAGGATGCTTCTAGGCTTCTCAGGGAGACTTACAAATGCAAATAATAAGCATAGAAATGACAAAAGAGATAATAAAGCACAATGGACATGTGGGCAATAGGGTAACTTATAATTCTACCTGTAAAATAAGAAGGGATATCAAAGAAAGCATTTGTTTACGTGTGACACAATGCCATACCAGTGTTCCTGGTGATAAGGTCCCCTTTTTTAGAATGAGAGGCAGAAAGATTTTTCTCATACATTTCTGTTTGTTCCTTCTGCATTTATCTGTTTTGTTTCATTTTACAGTAAATAACTTTCATGCACTGTACTTGGGAAAGATTTAAATAAATCAACATGTTCACAAATGGCATGTTTCACAAATGGTGTATAAATAACTAAGGCTTATGGAGTCCAAAATGACCTGTGAACTAGAAATGTAACATTTAGAATTGTATGCTTTTCTGTTTTGGATAGAAAAGAAACATTTGTTTGCATAGGAATTCATGAAGGTGACCCAACTTGGAAGAAGGGCTATTCACTTTGGCCATGGGGGTCTTGTGACAAATTGGTTCCTTCAAGGATTGTATTCAACCCAGAAGAGTGGATTAAAAGCACCGCAAGTATCTATAACTGGACCGAGGAATATGGAAGGTATGAGCAGCAGGTGTGTTTTTAAGCAAATGTCAGTTTTGTATCTCTAAAAACAAAAAAGGCTACATTTTGAGTTACCTTTTTTGTTGTTTTGATTTTTTTGAGACAAGTTCTTACTATGCTGCCTGGCCTCAAACTCGGGGTCCTGCTGCCTCAGCCCCCCAGTGCTGGGGTCACAGGCTTGTCCCCTGCCTCAACCTCCCACCCCCTAGTTCTGGAGTCACAGGCCTGTCCCACCACACTTGGCTCTTAAGATGCCTTTTAATTTTAATGTTCAGCTTTTTTTTATTAATATCATTTTCTGCCCACAAAAGATCATAAAACATCACAGGAAAAAAATGGCTTTTTTTCTTCTCCTCTGTCTAGGCTATCAGGAAAGGAGGGCTGTGGGTGAGTGGACTCCCTAGGAGTTTGGTGCATGGCACCTTCTGCCTTCAGGCCATGGCCCTGCATGGTCCAACATCCTATATCTTACTATGCTTTGAGTGGAAGGGACTCATGAGCTGCTGTTAATCTCTAGGAGGCACTCTGTTGGCCAGGACAATTTCCATATGTGTGAACTTGCCATGTTCCTTCTCCAAGAATGTAGACACAAGTTTAGCATGTAGTTCAGTGATACAGCACTTTCCTAGCATGTGTTTGGAGTGGGTATTCAGTCCCCAGCACAAAAATAAAAAGACAAGCAGTTTCTGTAAGGAAGGCTGATTTGAGAGCCTTTTTCTGTGGTTGTTTGTTATCAGTCTTGTTATGTTGTTTAGGGCATTGTTCAACTCTTCTTGAGCATTTCTACATAAAGTTTACTCTTATCTATAGAAAATAATCTCATTGAGACAAATATCTGTTTATTTGAATCATGAACGATTGAGCTGGAGAAGTGGTTCATTGGTTAAGAGCCTATACTGCTCTTGCGGAAGACCCAGCTTTAGTTCCCAGCACCCACATATGCTAGCTTCATAACTCTAGCTCTGGGGGATCCGGCAGGCCTACTGATGTACATACCACCACCCCCCACCCACACAGTTAAATAAACATGTCTTTAAATTAATGGATTATTTGACATCAGATAGCCTATTGTTTATAATTCAGGAGCAAGAGGAAAGATCATATTAACAAGTGCTATGAAAGTTTTTTGAGACAATATGAGCCAACAGTACATTGTTGTATTATTTATTAGAAAAGTTGGGAAATAACAGTCTACTGGATATGGTGATGTATGTCCCAGCTTCTCATACTCGAGAGGCAGAGTCAGAAGGATTGTGAGTTCAAGACCATCCTGGTGTACCTAGTGAAAATTACATTTTCTTCAGATAGCTGATGAGGAAAACATGTACATATTGTTCCATAGCTCTACTCTGCTTAAACAGATACATAAGAAATTTTAATTATAAATTTCTTATCTTAATTTGTATTATAAATTTTTGATTATAACATTCTGGCAGCAATTGTTTGGCCTGAATTCTTCAAGCAGCCCATAGCCCAGCAGGAGTGTAGTGAAGCTTCTCTTCATACATGCTCTTGGCTGTGTCCTAGTATGGCCTGTGCCTCACTTTATCACCTCTTATGCTCAGGAACAGCTGCCCAATGCCTACAGCCTCTTCCCTTTGTCCTCTGCTCCCTTGAGGCACAGTTAAGATTTAGTAGGCACACCTATTGAAACTCATAAGTTTTTGATGTGATCACAGTCAATACATCAAGAGCCAGCCTGTTTCAGTGGCCTTATATGATTACAAAGCAGATATTATGTGTTCATAATGTGATGTAGCTGATGAAAGGATACTGTTTTTCTTGTAACGGCAGGTTTGATCCATCTTCTTGGGAATCTGTGGCCAATGAGGAGATGTGGCAAGCAAGGTGACTGATCTGCATTTTATATTAATATGGCAAAGAACTCGCCCATGGCACTTTTCATTCTGGGAATATGGACAAGTGGAAATAAAAATAACTTAAGGGCAGCTATTTTGTTCAGGACATTGTATTGTTATATGTGCTTAATATCATCTCATCTTCAAAATCCATGAAGCTCTGTTATCTCCATTTTATAAAAACAAGGTAGATGGATTTCTGAGGGCACTTACTGACAGTGATGGAATCCAAAGCTCAACAATATAACCCTGAGGCACTCTTCTCTCTGATACTTGTGCTCCAGCTAAGCCAGGGGCTGTAGGGAAAATGGGGTGCAATTGAGCATTAAAGCCCTGCTTGCATTTGTGCCGGGCTAGTCTGCTATTAAAGCATCTGTTAGTACATACCAGAGGCCAGGTCCTGTGCCTGGCCAGAAGCTATACATGGGTTTGACAAAGTCCCTGCCCTCCTGGAATGCAGACTGTCTCAGGAGACTTCATGAAGAGATATTATCCCTTACTGTGATGGATGCTATACTTTCCTGTTGTTCAGAGAGAGGGGACACAGTGTTCCATGTGGATCACTTCTTAGTGGCACTACTGCTTCTCTTGGTCCCTGCCATTATTTGTAAATAACCAACCAACAGGGGCCTGCAAGATGGCTCAACAGGTCAAGGCACTTGTCAAGCCCAATGGCCTGAGCTTCATCCTTGGAACTCACAGGTTGTTCTCTGGTCACCACATTTGAGATATACCATGCAGGTTCACAAGACACAAAATAAATAAATGAAAAAAATTAATAAAAATTAACACCAGTAAACTTTAGCCAAAACATTAGTACAGAAGTCCTAAGCCATACAGAAAGGGGTCCCTCATGTATATGCAAAAATATATTAATGTCCCATCTATTCCAGAGATATGTTCTGAGAATTGAGTTATGGTATAAGTATTTACATCTTTAAAGATTTGTTATGAATTACATGGGGCTGGCTCAGGGAAAGAGATGGCTCAGTGGTTTATAGCACTGACTGCCCTTCCAGAGGACCCGGGTTCAATTCCCAGCACCTACATGGCAGCTCATGGCTGCCTGTAACTACAGTTCCAGGGGACCTGACACCCTCACTCAGACATACGTGCAGTCAAAACACCAATACACATAAAATTAAAAAACAAATAAATTTGAATTACAAAGCAACATAGTTCCTTGGGCCAGCAAGACAGCTCACCAGGTGAAGGTGTGTCAGTGTGAGTTTGATCCTCACTTCCTTGTGATAGAAAAGGAAAACTGATTCCTGCAAGTTGTCCTTTGACCTCTGTGTTTACACTGTAGCACATGTAGCCCAGTGTCATACCATCACACACACACACACACACACACACACACACACACACACACACACAAAATAAATAAATAAATAAATAAATAAATAAATAAAATGTAATAGTAATGTTTTTTTAAATAGGTATAACCCCAATATAATTAGTACAAAACAGCTGTACTATAGTTAGTTTGTGCCAGCATGTTTTTGAAAAGAGTAGAAAATTGCCTAAAGTTGCCAGTCTAGTTACAGGGACAAATACTTGCATTGAAAACCTTATCAAAGATACACTGCATAATTGTTCATTGTGATTGAATGTGGGAAAGCCTGGGAGATGATTACATAAGAAGAAAGCAGGTCATTATTCAGGCAGGTATTGATTTCATTGGTGTGCTAAATACAATTTGAATGTTTGTGTGCTCCAGGAGTCCAGCGACTTTTGAAGAACTGGTTGCACACCACACAAGCTGTTGTGATAGGCACCATCAGGGATGCACTGACAAACCCAGCAAGTCTCCCTGTCCCTGACTACTCTTCTGTAACAGTGATGCACGTCTGTAGGGAACCAGACAGTGATGACATGAACTTTCTCCCCAAAAGCTTCAGTGTTGAGTGTGAGCGCTGTGCCTTAGGAGGCTTTGGTGTTGAGTGTGGGTGCTATGTCTTCGGGGATTTTGGTGTTGAGTGTGAGCACTGTGCCTTGGGAGGCTTTGGTGTTGAGTGTGAGTGCTATGCCTTAGGGGATTTTGGTGTTGAGTGTGAGTGCTGTGCCTTAGGGGATTTTGGTGTTGAGTGTGAGTGCTGTGCCTTCAAGGGTTTTGATGTTGAGTGTGAGCGCTGTGCCTTAGGGGGCTTTTGGATTTCTGTTGCTTCAGAGTAAATTTCCATGCACACAAGAAAATGAAGAATGCACAAAAAAAAAAGGAATTTTATGCTGTGGTATGATTCTAATGAGAGTTCTTCCTCCCATCCCCAGGATGAAAACACCGTTCTTCATCTTTAACCTGGCAGAGACTGCCAAGGTGCCTCCAAATGTGAAAGCACAGCTCTACACTCATGCATATAAAGTATGTTTCCGTTTTGTTGACGGGCATCCTGGGAGGTAGAAGTGACTAGAGTGGAGATAGGGTGTGCAACAGCAGTTTTAGTCTCTGGTGTCCAGCTTATCTTGAGCATTATAGAGCAGTACATATGGGGGAAATATTCAACTTTCAATTGTGTCATAAACAATATTTAAGGTAGAGTGTCATGGTAATCAGAATAGCATCCCCATTGCCATCTGTGGCAAAAGGTACTCTAGGTATGATTGAGTTAAAGGACTTGAGATAAAGCTTATCCTGGGTTAGCCAGTTAGGTCCAATATGATCACGGGGTCTGCTGTGAGTGAAGAATGGATAAAAGTGAGTTAATGTTCAAAAGTTAGGAGCAGAACAGAAAGGGAAAGATTTGGCCATGGAGACAGAGAAAGGGCTGTGAGTTAAAGCTGCAGAAGATTCTGGAAACTAGAATAAGTTCTGCAGCACACCTGGAGTGCAGCCCTGCTGATGTCTCAGCTGCTCACCCTGGGTGCAAGATAGTGAGCCTGGGTTGTTTTTAGCCAGTATCTGTGGTCTTCATTGCAGCACCAAGAGGAAACTAACATAATAGCTTTACTAAAACAAGTTCTGCCATGTCACCCTCAGGGCAAAATCCTGACTGCTTGTGAAATGGTAGGCCATGGCTGGTAGAGGAGTCTTGAGGACAGATAAAAGCCACAGAGAGAATCTGTCTTCTGATTAGCCTTGGGAAGCCCAACACCTTCCCAGTCCATAGCTACTCTGTCCTCAGGAAAGGCACACAGAGGAGAGACTTGTGGTAGCACTGTTTTTTGACAAGGCTCTGGTATCATTTGTCTTGTAACACTGGCCTCTTCTAACACTACAACATAGCCAGTTGGCCATGTAGAAACATATATTCTGGTAAGGTCCATGCACACAGAGCTCAGGCCCTGCATACATGAGCAGCCAAATCCCTCTCTCTCTGAACTGGTAGGGTTCTACTCAACCAGCACATTTGCTTGCTGCTGACTTATTTTGCTCCTAACTTTTGAACATTAACTCACTTTTATCCATTCTTCACTCACAGCACTTATTGAGCACCTGCTCTATACCACATATTGTAGTAGATACGGACTTGTCTCTGCTGTCACAAAGGTAGGAAAGGATGTTGAGGACAGTCCACTCTGTAGTCACAAGATGAGTCTTGTGTGCTAACAGAAGTGCCATGGGACCCAGGGAGCTGAGCCTGAGTGCTAGGAAGAGATGTCATGAAGTGCCATGCTGGAATATCAGGATGAGCTGGCCAAATAAATAGTAGAGCAAGAAAGTGACAGGAGGGAGGCTGGTCTGTAAGAAGGTAGCCCCAGGGGCAAAGGCAGAGTCTTCCAGGGCACCCCATTCAAGGACAGTGAGGGAGTTGATTTTGGAAGGCAGCATGTAGAGCTCTGTCTGACAGCTAAGAGGGTCAGAGTCTAAGCTCACTCCAACATAAATGTCAGCTGTGAGTCACCAGTGTGAAGGGGAAACTGTTCGGAGAGGAGCTTGAAGACAGATGGGGTTTTGAAATCTCCAAGGGACAGTCACAGGCTGTGGAGTTCTTGACAAGGACTCTGTCTTACAGTGGGCATTCATTTAGCTGCTTTGGAGGAGATACAAAAAGATAATATAATTGGTCCATATCTACTACATGATATTGTGACCAGATCCCTAATTCAGAAGCTAGTCTCTCCTCACTCTACTGGGACACTCCAGCTAAACAGTGCTAATGTGATGGTGAAGTTCCTAAAGAAGGAAGCATTATGTTCCTCTGTGCAAACTAGTGTCCTCTTCCGTCTTTATTTGTTAATGTTGATGCATTCCCTCTGGAAAATTCATTATCAAAATTCTGGACCACTGGTAACTCAGTAGGTAAAGGCACTTGCTAACAGTCCTGAGGACCTGAGTTTGATGCCTGGTACCTGCATAGCAGAAGGGGAGAACCACCTCCCAGAAGTTGTCCTCTGATCTCCACATTGAGCTCCAAAGCTATACAGAGAAACGCCGTCTCGAAAAACCAAACCCCCGAGAGAGAGAGAGAGAGAGAGAGAGAGAGAGAGAGAGAGAGAGAGAGAGAAATGTTTTGATTCTACTTGCATCAATTAATACTGCCTCTGCAGTTGGGAAATGAAAATTCTGTGTTTCTATGGTCAGTGTTTTGGCTGTGAAGATGATAAATTGTAGGGTGTCATGAAGATTTTCAGCATTGCGCTTTTAGGGGAAGTCTTGATTCTGTTGTGCCAGTACATTTGATAACAATGGATTTGTTTGGATTAGATTGTTGCTAACACTACTGTTGTTCCATGTAGAGAAAAATCCATATTAATAAGTGAAACAGAAGTTTAATTCTGCCAAGTTCTTTTTCTACACTGTCTATTAAAGACAGATTTTTTTTTTTTTTCTCCAGCAGCTAAATTTAGAGGTTTAGCCGCTCGGCCTGTTGAGTAAATAGCTTTCCTCCAGTTAGAACTAAATCCTTTCCCAGAACATCTTTCTGGAGGAAGAGCACTTTGTCCTAACACAGTGTGTCTTGGGGTCCTGTAGCATCCAAAGCCCCAGAAGCAGTTTTAGATGAAGCACATTTGCCTCCTGCTACTGTAGTAATTACGTAGCATCCCTGTATTTTCTGCATGGCCTGGCAATGATTAGATTTTTACTGTAGGCTGCTTGGATTTTTTTTTTCCTTGTCTTATTAATTCCTCTCTGTTTTCTGTTTTTGAAATGAGAAAATCTGTCAAGATAACAATGGAATGCCAACATTTGCTGTCTTCCAGCTTTATAAGGAGATAGTGTACTTTCAAGAGGAACACCCAGTGAATTGGCACAAGAACTACGCCATCGCCTGCGAGCGGATGCTGCGCCTTCCAGGGACAGACGCAAAGCCTGAAGTCCTGCTGTCTGAAACCATCAGACATTTTCGTCTCTACACTCAGAAAGCACAGAGTGACCCACAGCGAGCAGACATTATAGCTGCTCTCAAGCACCTCAGAAGAGAACTGCAAAGTCTAAGAAATACAAAAAAGGTCTGAGCCAGCAAACAGTGGCAGCCTGCTCGCTGTTCTGCTCTCAGAGTTTAAGGTCTTGAGCCAGCAAATGGTGGCAGCCTGATCGCTGTTCTGCTTCCAGAGTTGCTAAAGTCCAAAAGCTTTCCTTCAAGTAAAGAAGTTGTATCAAAAATGTAGAAATCTCAATTATCTCCTGGATATAAGTAATGTATACAGCAGAAACACATTAATGACTAAAGTGTATGCCTTATGCAAAGTTGTGTTTATCTCATGTTGCCAAATTAGCATTTCCATGAGAAGCGTTCAGAAACATCTGCAGTCTTCATATACCAACTGTAGGCTGTAGATGGGAAGGAACTGTCTCCACAGACCTGAAACGTTTCTGAGTCTTTTGTGGTCTGTGATTATTGGGATCCATTTAAAAAGATATTCTTAAAATGCCCATTCCAAACCAAACGCATTTTCCATTTCCTGCAAGTGACATAGTCTCTGAAAACAATTCTTGTTATACCTCATTAGAATTCCTTTTTACTCTAGTTAACTATAATTGTTAGAGTCTGAAACTTTATGCCAAGTATGTGATTTTTTTAAACTTTTGAGTTTTATCATCTTCATCTGTAGTCACTGAAAAGGAAAGCTAATTTCATGTTTTCTTATTTCAGTTGCAGAAACAGGCAAATTAAATGGCATTTAACATGTCCTTAATTAATTTCATATTTATGTTTTACTGCTATTTGGATTCACAGATCTAGACCCAATAATTAGTAGGTAGCTGGCTGCCCAGATGCACAAAGCAGTGTGGCCAAGAGTGGGGGTGGGGAAGTTGTTCAATAAATTCATTTTTGTTACAGGCATCTTTTATACATATTAATAAAGGGAACATAGTAAGAAATGCAAATAATAATAGTTCTTTATTTTATTATGACAGTTAATTAATAGCAACCTGTTTTAATGAATAAAGTCACTCAGAGTCCTTCAGCACTTCCTAAGTAGAGGCCAGAATCTGTAGGGATTCTTTCCCCCTGATTGTATAGCTCCTAGACTCCAAGCACTATATAGGCCCCTGTATAGAAATGCTCACTAATGAAGAGGGAGGGCTAGAAGCTTGTCTGCATTCAAAGATCACTGGTGAGTCATTCAGCAAGAAAAGGCCCCTTACCAGGAATAGTCACAGTTCCGTGGCATTGTACTAGCAAAAGGGTCTGATCAAAGGTCTCCCGTGGAGCTTGCATGGTTCCCTTTCATACTACGACCATAATTAAAACCACTAATTCTCTTTTAAAATGCTGCAGGATGCCATGTAGGCATCTGTCTGGAGTGTCCTTTGTGATGTCATAAGCTGTTAAGGACCAGTGCCGAGGGCTTTTGAGTGAAATGCCAGTCATGAAGGTGCTTCAAGACAAGGGTGCCTCTAAAAGCTTGACAGGGCCTTGACTGCACAATTCGAGCTGAATTTGCCCCTTGTCAGCTGCCAGTAAATAAATCTCAAAGGGGAAAAGCTGAAGTTTCATTACCTGATCCATGGGGCTTTGTTGGTTTTGGCATCACACAGGGGAAGCTCTTGCCCCTCCATTCTCTGGGTTTGAAGATGTCCATTGGAGCCTGCAGGGCCTGGACAGGGTTCAGAGCGGAACCTTTTGAAGAGTGTCAATAGTTGTAACAGTTCAGCTGTTAGGAAGACAAATACATGGAGGAGCTCATTAATCCGCTTTTGGCTCTCGGTGCCTTTTGCCCTTTTATCACAGCCTTATTAGGCTCCTGCTCATCTTGAACCAGAAAAAACTGAATTGAAGTTGTTGAGTACTAATTGGCAAAGACTTTAATCATGGGCCAAGAACTTTCACTGACTTGAAAGTAACTTCTCCACAGGGAAGAGCCAGAAACCTGGTTTACCTTAAAACAAAAACCTGTTGGAGCTCAGTGTGGTGTGAAAATTGAAGGAAGCATCGATAAATTGTCTAAGTCTATCCATTCAAAAAAATTATGTAAGATTATGATTTTCACTTTCCTGGGAGGACAATAAAATTCAAACATTTCTTAAGAAAGTCTTGTTTGGTCCAGAAAAAAATGTCTTGAGTATGTGTGGTGACAGAGTCTGTTTCTGAACATCTGGCTACATGTGGGACGACTCACCTCAGAATCTACATATACATGCAATACATTCAGAACCTTATTAAAAGGAACATTTCCTGTCAGTAGCCTTACGAATGGCAAGGAAGGCCTCTGGAAGAGCACCTACCTTTTAAATGTGTGTCAGCATGTTGGCCTGCCAGCTTCTGAGTGTGTTTTAAGCAGCACATGTGTTATTTGGTATTTGTGCAGCAGTGACTTCAGACTACTGTCTTTGACAAAGCAATAATATGTAGCCAGTGACACAGAAAGTCACAACTCTTTAAATTTATTAAAACCACCGGGAAATGAAAAACAGCACGTGGAGCTAAGATTTAAGGTTGGTTAGCTTGGTTGGCCTTCATTCCCAGGTTAGAGGCTTCCAAAAATTCTCTCCTTTCTCCTGAGAGAAGCTGAAATCGCTTTTCCTTGCTTCTCTTACTATTCCTGGGCTAGAGCCTAACATCATAAAATTAGATACAGGGCTCCTCTAGTCCAGCCCCAGTACTGAGAAGGGTGTGAAGGAGATGACTTCTCATGTAGGATTTGGCCAGCGTCCCCCTCACAGTGTCCCTGGGGTGCTGTGGGTTGGCAGATTGACAGGAACCCCACAAAGCCAACTTCTGCCTGGAGTTTAGCCTGAGGAGCAAGTGGGAGCCAACGGAACTGTCTGTCTCTCCACACACTGCAGTGCCCTGCTGCCTGGGCTCTGACGCCAAGCCCACACCAGAGGGCACAGGACGAGAGCATTGTGGCTTCCATGTTAGCTAGCAAAGCATCATCCTTCTCTGCTTCCTTTGGTGGAAGTGTGTACAGTTCCTAGTGTTTTATTTTCTCTTGTTTTTTTTTTTTAAAGGACCTTTAATATATGTAGTTCTGTTACTCAACGTGTAGCCAAAATAAAATTATTAATAATGTATTACTTTGCAAGCATACAACAGAATTTGTAAATGTTATTTTCTGATGATGAAGCTATGATGTTTAGCCATTAAGAGATTTAATTAAAGCCAGTTTGGGGAGGGCAGGTTAATATACTCTGCTGATAACTTGATGTCATCAGATTAGGATATGAAGAGTAGATTTCTAAATTTACATATTAAAAGTTAAACATTGTGACTCCTTAATCGTACTTCCCAATAATATCCATCAGTAGTTAAAATGAGTGCTTTTAATATTCAGGAAAAATTTCAATTTCAAAGGTTAAAAAATGAATCCTATTACAGCAAATCCTTTTGTTTTATTTCTGATGTAATTTTACAGATGCTCTATCGTAGGGTAATAAGATTCTGAACTACTCAAATGCTATGGCTAGGTAAAGAAAGTAATTCCAGACAGACCCCTAAGAGATTCACATGATTTTCATTTATCCTCAAATTTTGTTGTGGATGCAAAATCACTCTTAAGCTTATATGCCAAACAAGTGATTTTCCAAGGATGCTGGGAACATTAAAAGCCAAGATCTTGGCACAGCACTGCAGAGCAAACAAGGAGTGGAGGCTTAGCTGTGCTCATTCTCAATGAAGACGTCATTGTCAGGACTCCGAAGGCCTGTTTGATTTGGATCAGCATGGATGATATCTTTGAAAGCCCAAGGAGGGGTACAGTGTGCTTACCTGGGATATAGGGAAGCAAACTAACCTGGATATATCTTGAAAGGGTTGTTTTGTTTTGTTTTGTTTTGTTTTTTCAGCAAAAAAGAAATAACTCTTCACCAACACAACATGTGTTAGAAGGATTAGCTCATGCTGTTAAAAAATAAATGGTGTTTGGTGGGAAGGGCAGATAGAGGTCCTCAAACCATGAATGTGAAGCCAGCAAGCAATTTACTGGCATGTGTGTGTGTGTGTGTGTGTGTGTGTGTGTGTGTGTGTGTGTGTGAGAGAGAGAGAGAGAGAGAGAGAGAGAGAGAGAGAGAGAGAGAGAGAGAGAGAAAGAGGAGAGAGAGAGAGTGAGTGAACCAGTGTGTTATGGGTAAAGACTAATTTCCAAATTTTTCAGTCAGAAAGATATTCTGAATATATTTAAAATTGTCAGTTGCTGAGATTGTCTCGTTTTAAAATAATGGTCAATAGACCAGCATGAAGCTTAGGGCTGTACTCCTCCTCAGTGCTCAGCTTACAGTGTCCAAACATACGTAAACCTTCTGTCCATGTGCTATGACATGAGGATATCTTAAATTCATGTGTAAACAAAAAATAGAGAACTAAGCCAAAGCCACTCATAACTGAGTGATTTAGAATTGTTGTGTCTGGTGTACATCTTGTTAGAGAAGAGAAATGAATAGATCAAAACACAATACAGCCAGTGCCCTCCACTCAGGCCCAGCTCTGGAATCAAGTCTTTATGTTGGTACATGTTACATATTATAAACTAATAATATACATTTTAAATTTTGGCCTTTTTATCGAAGTCAGCATCTCTATTCATAAGTGTTGCCTTAAAAGGATTATTTTGTAAGGAAATATGTTAAAGTAGAAATTTTAAATGTCCTTCAACAAGTGAAATATTTATTCTCTTACATAGCTGAACCACTGGAAGTAGTCTTAATTAATACCCATAGTTGTTGCTCATCAGTGAAAGTCTGTACTAAAAACTAAAGAGATTACTGTTTGGGGAATTAGACCAGCCTTCTTGACCCTGATAAATTGCCCACAACCTGGAACTTATCATCATCCCCAGAAGTATCATGAAAGACAAGAATGTCCCACGATACTAGTGTACCAAGTCTTGAACCCCAAATCTACAAGAGTGGAAACAATGAAGATTTTGAGAACCCAAATCATCTTATCGTGTCTTCCCTGAAGATCAGCTTTGAAAGTAGAAAGGAAACACTGCAAGATTGTTGTATTAATAACATTTTTGACATAATTCTTTATTGATCTTCTGGGAATTTCATACCATGCACACCAATTTCACCCACCTGCCAGTCCTTCCATATTCATCCCTCGCCCTACAGCATCCCCCCAAAGAAAATTCCCCAAAATTAAAAACAAAGCAGACAAAAAACCCCACATAGTTCCTGCCTCTCCAACACCTCCATTCATCCTAGTGGCATTTGGAGCCGTGGTGTATCATTTTGTCCAATCAGCCCCACCAAATCCACAAGACCAAACATCCTTTGTAGTTGCTTTAGCAACAGGCACTAAAAAAAATGCCTTTTATGATGTGGTAGACTTTGGGGAGCCCCTTTTGAGGGCCTTACCCTGCCTGGGGAGTGGAGGGGGGATGGCTAGGGGCAGGTGGGATGTTGGGGGAGGGGAGGGAGAGAGAGAAGGGATTGACATCTGAAGCAAGCTTGTTCCTAATTTGAACTAATAAAATAAAATAAAATAAAATGCTTTTAAGGAATTTCTCAAGTGGCAGGTGATCTTCTCATCAAAACTCAGGTTCTTTTGGTTGAAGAGTTAAAACTTCCGTAGAAGGAAGTTTTAAAATAATAGAAAGATGGATGGTTGGGTAGATGGATGGACTGATTGATTGATGGGGTCTAAAGAGATGACTCTGAAGTTAAGTTGCAACTTGCTGTTGCAAAGGACCTGGGTATGGTTCCCAGCACCCACATGGCAAGTTGCAACCATCTCTAATTCCAATTCCTGAAATCTGATGCCTTCTTCTAACATCCCACACCAGGCAGGCACATGGTGCACTTACATGCAGACAAAACAATCATACACATTAAATAAATCTTTAAAAATATTTGCATAGAGAAGAACAGAAAACCAACGTTTAGTATAAAATAGTGTGATTCCTTATAGAGAGGCCTCCTGGGTGGTAGTTCTTATCCAGCTTGCTGTGGTTTAAGTCATAGCATATTCATTTTCCGTTACTGGTTTTGACATCACTGTTTATCCCTCAGCAATCAGAACGTGAACCACTAACCTATGCACTTAGCTGCCTTGTGGAGAACAGTCTCTCAGCATGCAGGGCTGCTTCTAGTTGGAGCATCTGGGTCTTAAAGTTCACACAGTAAGAACTGACCCGTTTCCTGATGAAATAGAGGGGAAATACCAGAAAGCATGAGGGAGGACTGTTTCTTAAAACTCAGTTCACGTTGTGTATATGCAAATAGTTATGTGTAACATCATACTAAATGTAGGAATAATAGTCACATCTAAATGTGTAGCTGGTCTCCCAGCACTCAGGAGACCAGAAGTGGAAGAATCATGAGTTTGAGGCTAGCCTGGGCTACATAGAGAATACCCTGCCTTAAAAATAAGAATAGAACCAGTTGGCCAATCAACACAGGGAAAACCCTCCAAGCCTGGAGGCACACCAATCCTGAGCCTGTGCATACCCCTGGACACTCCCCTTATGCTGTCCTATAAAGATCTGTACGAAGCGGGTTCGAGCTGTCTTTTTCAAGCCATCCACCATGGCAGGTGGGTGAAAGACCCGTGCTAACATGGGGTTAGCTCCTTAAAAAACAATAAAGCCTCATGCAGTTTGCAGAAATAAATAAATAAATAAATAGAATAGAATAGAGTCTGTTTCTTATTAAGGGTCATTAAAAAGTAATTATGTTTCAAAGATACTGGCTTTGGAAAACCTAATGCCAGAATGACTTGTAAGGGATCACTGAATACAGACTACCATACCTTCTCTATCCACCTAAACCAGGAGTGGTATTTCACACCTCTAATCCCAGCACTAGGGAGGAGGCAGGAGAATCACCAAGCGTTGGAGGATAGGCTGGGCTATGGAGTATTCTAAGTCAGCCTGAACTAGAATGAGACCCTGTCTCATAAAAACAGAAAGGGGCATGGGTGGGTATGATCCCACAGAAGCAGTGCCAGAAGGACTCCTGGGTATGGCTGGCCCAGTCTAATCAAATTGGTGAGCTCCAGGTTCAGTGACAGATACTGTCTCAAAAAAATATGGTGAAAAGCAATTTAGAAAGACACCTGTGTCAATTTCTAGCCTCCACACGCTTACAAGT